CGTCTCTTCAGGCGATTACCTCCGCAATTGCTAGAGCGAATGGATTAAAAGGTAATCCCACGCACCATACATAGTTTGCTCTACAATTAAAATTCTATGAGTCTTAATCAAATTAGAATTTCTGTATCAATATTTTATTGGACAAAACAATAAATATACTTTGTTCGTCGTAGTATTTTATGAGGATAAAACATTTTGTATGCGTTTGTGTTTTTTCACACAATATTTCAGAAAACAATTGAAACTACATCAAGTTCTAAATCTAAAACAATAATTTAAGACAGAATATACTGCATTTTAAATACAGCGTAATCGTTTCCGTAATATGAATCTTCTATTATCACTCAAATATCTGTATTCGTCAACCTTATGCTTTATTGGAGCTTTCGAATGGTCTGCGATACGGTTGTTGTAGGGCCGTTCTTAGAATGACCAAAAAATATTATCTCAAATATTACCGTGCTTCAAAGGCATGTTTCACCCACCAATCCGCACTGGCCCTGCGTGGTGGGCCATTCTCACTATTCGATACAATTCCATCTATAGGATAGGCCGTGTGTTCCAGCAGTGATGATGTATAAAAATGTTCATAATTCACTCAAGCGTTCATGTTATCACAAACGCCATCTATTGGCGGGTAAAAACTACATAACATTGACGCACTGCATAGTGTAAATAATATCAGAACTGGATTTCCAAATTAATTATATCCACGCAGAACGTCAATTTCAAATGTCTATTTATAAGTACATATCACATTTATTTATATTCATAGCCGAATGCTAAGCGGCCGCGAAGGTGTTACAGTCATATGTATTTATTATTCACAATCGCTCTTGATTTGAAGGTCGTATCATTCTTTGGCAGTTCCTATTATGTTGGTAACTTCCTGAATGCATCATTAAGCATTAAGCTATTTGTTTAATAATTTCACGCTCTTTTCCCGGCGGGATAGCGGCGGGCAGAGACCATCTCCTTCCATTTTGTTCTAACCTGACATACCTCTCTCGCTTCCGCACGTATCAGCCTTTTCATACAAGAACGCTGGTTTGATTTTTTATATGATGATCGCATACCAATAGAATCTCAAGTGCTTGTATTTTGTCTGCAAGCCTGCCTGAAATCTAATATAAATATATGTCTGTCACCATTGATGTGCGAAGAAGACATTTAACTAATAACATTATACTTTAGATAATTGTACAATCGTAAAATTTTAAACGTTAAGTCTATTGAGATGTCATTATTACGTGCCCTGCTGACCTTTCTTTAATACTTCCGTAAGATCATAAAGAGTTTCTTTGATTGTACCTCTTTGCTGAGTCTGTACTAACATATAACCGTGGGAGAATTGGATTGGTTTTATAAATACAGCCAACTTCACGCACAAGTGACCAATAAATGTGTCTAAGTACGGAAAACTGGAGCCACCATTTTTTATAATCTAACCTAAAAGTCGGATAACTAAGATAATACATGAAGAAATAATACTTTGAATTTTTTCTCCATATGACATATATTTGACATGTGAATCAAACAAATCAGATATTACTAGACCCTCAGACCAAATAAAAAGTAAAGACGGAGTTCGCTGAATAACAAAGTGAAGCCGATTTTTAGCAATTGTAGTGTGCGTGCCGGTGTGACCATAGTCATTAAAAACACCCCAATAACTTAACGTTACGACGTTATAGAGTTAACGTTAACGCTATGCTATTTAATAATTTAATGTATATTCGTTTGTCAATATCAGCATAGATATTCTTAAATCTTTAAAAATAGGTAATTATTATTGGAGGCCATACATTAGAGAGACTATTTAATTAATTTTTAAGTTAAGTTTGAAAACTTCCACTATGTTAACTAAAATTTTTATATATAGAAAGTTTGAAACCTTTGGATATAAGTTTTGCTTTATTCGACGTAACCCTTTTATAGTATACACATATCATTGCTCTTAAAATGAGTCGAACAAACTACGCTGCGCGAAATTGGATTCCATGAAGGTTCATTTCGACTATTACGAATGACTGAAATCCACTTCTCTTTCAAATTTTGATGTCGGTTTGGAAATGAAAAAATGTATGCAAACCTGTTTAGTAAAAATAAAGAAGTAAAAAATTAAACCCGTTTTTTATTTTTTACTTCCTTATTCTAACACTTCAATATATGTGATCTGGACCTCTATGTAGCATTTTGAATGCAAAATTTATTAAATATCATTTCCATACAACAAGAAAAAAATACACAACGTAATTTGTGTTTTGTTAGAAATAACGCGTTATAAAATTAAAGTTACCTGATTTCGGGGTAAATAATAACGTTTAACGATGGTAATATTTGGCTGAGGTTTTGTGTTCCAAGCAATTACTTAAATTTTATTTTTAAATTACTGAAAATGTAAGTTTTCTCCAATACTTTTGTGTGAAATGTGATTCCATCCTGCTTTTTATTTTTTGAGGATTGGTTTTTACAACCTTTTACTGCACAATTCGGCAGTTAGTAAGAAATTTTTGATTTTTTTTATAATGAAACGTTCCGCACGCTGTCTTTAGTTAGACTGATAAGGAAGGCGTAGTTTCGTTATGTATGTGTGCGTGAAACTGTGTACGAATACGCCGAGGCGTAGTTTTGCCGGCTTCACTTTTCTGTTAGGCAAAACTCCGTCTATACTTTTTATTTGGTCTGAGACTAGACCAATATGTTTCTCCTGCCTCCTACCACGACCTTTTTCCGACAATTTTTCCTTCAATATTAAACTCCAATATTTTAATTTTTTATTTCTTAAGACTTCTAAATCTTTGCTGCGTATGTTACAGACAAAATTTTATAAATAACTAGCTGGGGGCCAATTCTACTAAATAAATTTTGTTTAAATCGAATCGAAATCTGATCGAAACCGAACGAAACTACAGTTTTTAATGGTTTTCCTATTCTACAAAGTGACATACGATACAATTCCAGTTCTATTTTAGCTGGAATTGTATCGTATGTCACTTAGTAGATTAGACATAACAATAAATATGTCACAAAGTGACATATTTTACTGTACTGTACTGTACTGATACAATTCCAGCTAAAATATGTCACAAAGTGACATATTTTAGCTGGAATTGTATCGTATGTCACTTAGTAGATTAGAAAAACCATTAAAAACTGTAGTTTCGTTCGGTTCCAATCCGTTTTCGATTCGATTTAAACAAAATTTATTTAGTAGAATCGGCCCCGGATATCCCGCGATTTCACTCGCGAAAACTATAGATTATTCCCGTAGGTGAAAGTATTTTCAAGTCCAGTAATTACGGAGTCCATTTAAGGTAAAATGAACTAAACAATCAATACTTTCCTCTTAACAATATTAGTATAGATAACATAGTAACAACCAAATACAATAAACCCAACAAGCACTTCTAGCATAAGAAAAACTAAGAACATTTATATTTAGCATTGATTTATAAAATATGTATTATATTTAGCATGTTCATAAGTACAAATCACTCATTGTACCATACAGTAATTTACGATTTACCAATGCGATATTATATACGAACGCCTTTATCAATACAGCAATTAGTCTTACAAGCACTAACATTATGATACACGTAATTTTAAGAGTAGGTAAATGTAATTACGTATTGAGAAGACAGTAAGAAATAATTTTTATTGTCTTACATAAACACACATTTATAGAATAATCTACATTATTATAGAAAAAATAGGTACTTACAGTATCTAAACTTTTTTTTTGTTACTCGTCGAGTAAATCTTGCGAGGTCAACAAGGAGGTCGCTGTATATATTTTTTTGTTAGGTAATGATGTTATTTTATGGCACAAACGAAGGATCAATAATTCTACGTTAATAGTTTAATGTTCTTAAAAAGGAATTAGCTTCGCGAATTTACGGTAAGTGAGCAAACGCATCATCTATTTTGCCGTTCTTGAATAATAAGTTGAGTTCTTGAATCTTGAGCTATAATTTAAACAAAAACGTGGGAAAAATAATATTAGAGTTGACTCTATGAGTAAGTTCCCTTTGCTCTTATGTAATAAGTAAAAAACGACAAAGAATAATTTTGAGTTTCGTTCCATTACTACACATATTACTACTACCATTCAACGAATAAAGGAATGCTATTTATGGGATTAGAAATAATGAAACGCTACATAAATAACCTAAATGCTACATAAATAACACGACATAATTATAACTAGGTACACAAGGCCGCATCTAGAGGAGGAGGCACTTATCATAATATTTTCAAGTAAAAAAAAGTCTTATAAAATTCTATTTTATATTCATATACATTAGAAGACAAAGGGACGGACATGATTTTAAAGGCTCAAATACCCAGTTGCACAAACATCTAATCAAATTGTCATTAGTTAAAAACTACTTACATCCCTTTCCGTTTTAATTATTAAATCATTTGAATAACTTAAGGATTACCGATACTTTTCAAGCTTAGAATATTAATTTGAGTTTAAAGTCGTCTTTCGATTAAATTATCTTTATACTTTATTCTTTATTAAATAAAAAATGATTGGCTTTTCTTAATGTCGTTATTACTAAGCTATGCTATGCTGTGATATGTATTTTTTTATAATTTTTAAAACCGTCACCCATTCAATATTCAAACAGGACCGATTAGGATTGTTCTAGTATTGGACAAACTATATGGATTGGTCTTCTGTCAATTGATCTGTCAGCCTGTCAGATTTTTCATGGCTTCGTTTTGATTGATTAATCAAGGCATCCATAGGGCAAAACAACGTTTTGGCCTACCCCTTTTTGGTAATTTGGTATTTCTAGGCGTTTTAACTAACGCATAGGCAAATATGCACACGATAAAGTATTATCGTGAAGGGTTTTTAAATTGTTACAATACCGTTGGTAGTAGTGATATGTTAAAGTCTCTAGTAACTTTTAAAATGGCGAAAACGTCATTTGCCCTATGTAGTAGAGCGGCGCCCTATGTAGTATATACTTTATTCTTTGTAGTGACCATCCCCGTGCTGAATTTCGGCATGCTTCTGGGTTGGCTGTCTCCGATGACACCGATTCTGCAATCACCAGACGGGCCAGCACCAGAGCCCATATCAGACGAGGTCCTGTCATGGATGGCGGCCCTTACTTTCCTGCCACCAATCTTCTGTGGCTTCCACATGGGAGGGCTGATAGATAAATGGGGCAGGAAAGTCTTCACTATACTGACCTCGTTGTTTTTGGCGGTAAATATTTGGATATTTAATTGTAATGTACTCACTGGATCTCTTTACTAACGGTCGAGCCACACAAAAGGAACAGAACGGCCTGTACACCGATCACTATCGCGATAATTAAAGGCATTTCTCCTTAGTGAAGCCATGGGAAACTCTAGCTTAAACAGATTCTTCTACAAACTTCTTCAGCCACACTACTATATTACTTGTACTAACTATACTAATTTAAGCGATGGACCCCCTTGATCTCCGGAATCCCAGAGTGAATTCATCATCATCATCATCATTACCAGCCCTTTTACGTCCCCACTAAAGGAGCTCAGGCCTTCCTTATGGACGGTTAAGGAGGATGGGTCATGACCCTCCACGCTGGCCCAACGAGGATTGGAGGGTATTAACAACTGCAAATGCAGCCGGGACCAACGGCTTAACGTGCCTTCCGAAGCACGGAGTAGCTCGAGATAATAATCTTTTGGTCACCCATCCCGTAACCGACCCTTGCGAAAGTTGCTTAACGACTACGATCGCGGGCCGCGGCGCTTATCCACTACGTCACCGAGCTACTGAATTCACTTGCCATTTTATTCACAAGCTAAGTAGGTAGTAGGTAATAATATTGTGTTGTCAAAGAGTTGCCAGTTAATGAATTTAATTGATACTTGCATAAACCAAGTAACGATTGTACACAAACCTAGTACATTGCGGTCTGTGACAGTCATAACCACTTATTTACAGATTGAAATGAATTGCTGTTATTAGGGTGCGGTCTCATCGATAGTAGTAATTATAAGACTAATCTATTAACTATTGGATGTTTGACTTATAAACTATTAATAAATAGATATAACATTAATTAATATGTCGCAATGTGTATGTTTTATAAAATAATATGATTTAGTTTTATTAATAAAGTAATAAAATCATTAAATTTTTGGAACAACGCCATCTATTGACATTGAGAGCTTAACATTTCACTTAAGAGCGCACGGTAAGGTCCCTAGTATTGTACTTTTACATTAATCATTAATTTCAGATAAGTTGGGCCATAATGCTTCTGACACTACATCCTTGGGCGCTGCTAGCGTCACGTGTGGTTTCCGGCTTGGCCTGCGCCACGTGCTATGTTGTTACGCCATTGTACTTAAAAGAGGTAAATATAGTTTCTTATGGAATTATATCAACTTTTCTCTTTACAATTTTAACTAAAAAGTACCTATTAAAACAAAATTATTAAATTCTAACTATTCTTAAAATATATTTCGATAGATTAACATCCAATTTGCACAAATGTCAATTAAGGTTTAATGACAACTTTGAGCTTTAATGAATGTTTTCAATTTGAAATCTAAAAGTTAAACTAAAAGTTGCTGACAGCAATTGGGGCAACGGCCTCAATTTTGCTGTACTTGACTTTTGCCAATCTAGATTAGATCGGGACTTGTCCAACTTTACAGTCTGTGATGCCAATTACCTGATAAGTTTATTGTACCCATTTCTGTCGTCAACAAATGCCCCGAGTATTATCAATGTAGAAATTTCAAAAATATTTGGAAGATTCAAACGGCACAAACGTCCATTTAAGCTCGTTTCCATGACGAATGTAAACTAAAATTGTAAACTTGAACCAGTAATGAAGTTTCTGCAACTAGATGAAAAGTTCTTTCAATTGTATAATTTTTTGGTCTTTTTACTTTTCTGACGTAGATACTACCAGATAAAGTTCTAGGCGCTTTCAGTCCGTTTTGGCACATAACATATAACACCTATAAACATAATATGTCATATCGGCAACATGAAGCCCCTGGTTTCTCTGTTCATCAAAAACAGGAACATAATCGGTTAATATACGTCAGCTATACAAATACAATATTATCCCTAGATAGCATCAGACAAAGTTCGTGGCGCGCTCGGTTCTCTATTCATCCTGGCGCAGAACATGGGCTACTTGTTGATTTATATCGCCGGAGACCTGCTGCCGTTCGCTGCTGTCATGTGGATGTGCGCCGCTGTGCCTGTACTGCACATCCTAGCGTTCCTCCTGATGCCGGAAACACCAGTGTTCCTGATCAAACAGAACAAAATTAAGGTTAGAAACTCCATAATATTAACAGTTCCAAACCAAACCATGAACATAAATATGAAGTTATAAAAAGGTTTATTTTTTTGTTTGTTTTTTTTGCATTAAATAGGCTTGTTAACGATTGCACCGATTTTAAAAATTCTTTTACACAAGCTACATCATACGCGGATAACGTAGGCTTTATTTAATACGAGCGAAGCCATGAGAAAACAATCAGTAATATATGTACAGTCATTCAAAATTATTAAAACAAATGATTAAGACAAATCAAACGTATCCAATCTCGACGAGTATGTCCCAGACCCCATAGATACCTTGCAACATAATAACTTGGATTTTATCTCAGACCAGATCTTGTCAAAATAAATCAAAGTAGACCAAGCTCGACAGAGATGCTTCAGTTAATTGTAAAGTTCCCGTAAAGTTTTAAAGTAATTGTAATTGTAAAGTTCATTCTATAGAGAATATTATTGTCATATTACATTGTGTATGCAAATTTTCAGCTCAATCGAAAACTTTATTCGATCATAGACATCTGTGTCTGTGTTCACTTAGGAGTCGCCTAATTCTAAAGTTTTGTATTTAAGAATTGCATAAGGTGAAAATACGTTTCACGAATGAATAGGAGCTACCTAAATACATCTTAAGCAATACCTAAAACGATAAAAATAATTTGTCTATTTGGAATGAAACAAAATCTATGTCCTTTTTAATTATAAAGGTAAACCTTAAATTGTATATGATTCACCACGCTTGATAATCATACTCTACGCATATAATAGAGTCTAGTATAGTGATTAAATGCTGAAGGTCATTAAGGAATGTACATCCTGGGGAATACATCGACATTGTTCTTGCACAGTCTTTCCTCTAAAGTTCAGATTGCTCTGAATAGGTCATTTTAAGAACGATATAAATTATAAATGAAAAGAAAGAAACGTGTTTCAAAACAAGTTTTTATTACGTGATGGCGTGACAAAAAATTCCCTTTTTATTCAGTTACTAATACAAGGAAATCTTTGTAAGTTGATTTACGTTCATTGTTTCAGATAAGGTTTAAATTTTTCCATGGTTATTAATCTCAGTCGGTACCTTAAACAACAATTTATTTCCAAGTATCTGTCATATTAATATAACAGGAAAGCCTACCGTTTCACCAAAAACCCTTTGAGTATTTTTTTTTTTGTTTACAAAAGGTAATTCTTTGAAATATTGGTAATTAGCCGGAATTAAAGAGCTGAGAAAGAGGAGCATGAACATAAACGAAATGAAAATGTAAACAAAGGCGTTCTTGAATAACAACAGCTGAATAATATTTTCACTTATCACATTATTGAGTTGAAGGATTACTCAGCGGAAGTGGCAGTGAGCAAGACACGTTACTAAATAAATCGGTAGGTTTTAGGGTGGAAAAGTTCTGACGACGCTCAATGCGTTAAAAGTCAGCCGCCAGGCGGACCGATAATCTTATAAAGGTTTTGCGAATCCGCTATACATGTACGACTAATGATGATGAATATAGCACTCCGAATAATTACCTCTAATTCATTCGGCAGGAATATATACAACATATAATAGAAATATTTTTTCACTTTCTTTTTACAAACAATCAAAAAAACCCTCACCTAATCAATTCAGCCAATTAAAAGCGCAGATTACCCTAATGGTCATAGTTATACACCATAGAATTAGTGAATTGATTAATGTAAAAAATGTCATCATAATTTCCCTTCTAATTATAGTTAGAGACACCAGTATTGATTTGTAGAATATTCTTAGTAAATTATTCTTAATGACTGCTTAAAAAATCCACTTTGTCCCTAGAACTCTGAGATGCAACACGAACCCATGACCTTTCTAATTATAGTTAGAGATACACCAAATATTGATTTGTAGAATATACTTAGTAAATTATTCTTAGTGACTACTTAAAAAATCCACTTTGTCCCTAGAACTCTGAGATGCAACACGAACCCATGACCTTTCTAATTATAGTTAGAGATACACCAAATATTGATTTGTAGAATATACTTAGTAAATTATTCTTAGTGACTGCTTAAAAAATCCGCTCTGAGATGGGACTCTAACCCATTACCATTCGCAAACCGGGCGAATTTTTCAAGCACTTTTTCGACACTAAAAAGTGTATTTTCATTATTGTTCATGACAAGCATTCTGAATGCAAAGTTGATCAAATAATTAATAGCCTTAGTAATTTTAGACGTGAATTTCAATATTATTTTTGTGGTTGAAATGCGTTTTCCTTCTTTTGATGATTAATGATGGAAAAATATTGGTTAACCCGAATTGCTATCTACAGAGGTATCTACTTATATTATGAGTTCAAATGAGAAATAGCTCGATGTCTGACCGGTCATAGCTAATGGTAATTAATAATGCGAATGACCTCAGACTTATAGAAAGTAAAAAAACTTTCCATGATCTGAGAATGTGATGTAATACTATATCTTTAGCCGTTCCCCAAGTAAGTCCACTACAAAATCAAGTAATAACGCTCGAATAAGCTGTAAGGTTTATGTTATATTGTAAAGGATAATCAGAGTTTGTCTCCAAAATTTTTTAGAGTCACATCAACACAAGCTGAGGCTGGGTTCTGATTGACCTAGGCAACACTTCTTTTATTATATTTTTTTTTATTTTATAAATAAATTTTTCTTTAATATTTGAGAAATAATGAAGAAGAAACAGTATGTCGTTTAGGAGATATGGTGCTATGTTTGTAGAACTGCTTTTAGTCGGCCGAAAAAGCTCCATACAAATTCAATGCACTAATGGTCAGTTGCACAAACGTCCATATAGGTTTAATAACGCCTTTAAGCACTAATGAATGTCCAATTTGTATGGGTAATGTCGCTTCAAACTAATGAAAAATTTAATGAACGTTTGTGCAACTGGCTGTAAGTGCTACCGTAGCGAAAAACGTATGGACATTTAAGCAATATTTGTTATATATTTGTTATTTGTGCGTTTATGTTTATAGCTGTAATAATAAAAGATGTGACATTTTATATAACAAATTTAATGCCATATGTATTTTAACAAATTTGTGTAGTATATTTTCCCTACTTTTTTCAAAGAATAATATTTTCTAATTAAATTAATCTTGTTAATTATTTATTAGTTGAAATGGTTCATATTTTCCGAATTTATAACGGAAACCTGTATTTTCACTTGTAGGACACAACTCTTTTATAGTTTTATGTATCATTTATTGTAATGTAACGTGTCTTCTCCTTTTTCATTTATGATTTTTTTCCAAAAGAAAAGTCATAACATAATGCTAACTCTAAATATCAAATTAATTAAATTGATAATTTGTGTAACCGAGATCGTCAAGGATGTAGTACTTTAACAATAATCGTTTTTGATGCGTAATTATCCACCCTTTTTTTATTTATTTTTTAGTTTTATCGTTTATCCAAAATCCTACCCTGTGATTTAGATCTCCATAAATTATTTTCTCAGAATTTCAGAGAATCAGATTCATTAGATAATATTCTGTCTGCGTAAAATTTCATAGGTTTTTTCTGATGAGTAATCCAATGAATGGAATTGCCTGCCTGCGTCTGTATTTCCCAGAGCTTATAACTTCAAAGCTTTTATATGATATCAACTTTTGTTAGCAAAGAAATCTCTTTCGTATCTCCTGCGCCTTTGATAGAATTTTGAAACATATCACAATAACGCGTATTTACAAAAAAATAGATATTTTTGCTATCAAGATGAGTTGTTATTGTGAAATAAAAAGGATAGAATCCAAATCAAAACATCAAAATCATTAAATGTATGTAACTCACCTACTATTCTGAGTTTCACATTGAATACATTAGTTGCCATCAGAAATCCATCATTGGCTTTGTTTATAATTATGAGGCTGCAATTACAATTCCTTTATTCCCATTGAGAAAAAAACTTATTGTTCGTCATACCTACCGAGCCGCTACGCTCAGATAAGACTAATGTAGTTATTGAAAAATTACTACATATAAAACTATTTGTATCCTGAACAATATTAGACCAAATGATATTCAGGAGTATTTGAACTTCAACAATGTATATTATGCAATTGAATTGCTGCACCAAGAATTTGTAGCACGCTCGCTACACTCGCTTCGATCGCTTTTCGTCCTGGTTACAGTTCTAATCAAGCTTAACCCTCTTCTCTTCTCTCTCTACTGTTTACAGCAAATTTATTATTCACTTCAGTTATATCGTTTTTGGGTTGATTCAAATTTGTTAAAAGTTTGTTTATTTAAAGATTGTTTGAAATATGTTTAGGCCGCCAGCACGTCATGTTATACAAAGCTCACTTTTATCACTTGATTTTAAAGCCTAACGCGTTGATGGTACAATTCAAAATAAAATGTGGGATTTTACATGTGTAATGTAACCACTGCAGGTCTAAGTAGTTTATTAAGAAAAATAAGGATTCCAAAAGCAATAATATTGTATTTTAATATAGTTTTATGAGCAGTTTCAAATTAATATATATTTTATTACAGGAAGCCCGCGAAGCATTGGCTTGGTTGAGGAACACCACAGTAGACGACAAGAATTTAGAGGAGGCTATCAAGGAGTTAGAAAGGGAGGAAGAATACACCAAATCTATGAAACAAGCCAACTTTATGAGTTTGGGTATGTTGTCCATCCATCCATCATATAAACTTATAAATAAAGATTGCAGCGAGAGTGTAATACCTAATATTCATTTGTTTAGCTCATAAAACAACTCATAAAGATAATAAAACATTTACAGCATATAAGTGTAGATGTATTCCGGGTCGTTATATGTAAATGACCCTTTCTATTTAAAAAACAATCGTCGAAATCGGTCAACTAAAAAGTTACGCCTGCAGAAATGTTGCCAGATCTCTCGTCTCTTAAAAATATTATTAATCACAGTTTATTAATAAACAGATTTACGATAAAATTAGATTTTTATGTTTCAAGGCCTGATTTTAAAGAACCGTTAACCATTAATTTTGCGAGACGGCTTAAAACCATATTCGCCATACCGTCTTCAAAAAAAAAATAAACACATCTTTTGCAAACAGGTTTATATCTAAATGGAATCTCGTTTTATCCTCGTTCAGATGATCGATGTTTATTTTTGTTAACTAAGTATTGAATTTGCATCTTCGTACTTGATGTGGAGCGGACGTTGAACCGCGATAAAATGATTAATTGCGGGCTTAACCTAACCATGTCATAAATAAGGGCCAGTTGCACAAACGTCGGTTAAGGTTTAATATCGACTGTAAGTTCTAATGAAAGAAGTTCTAAACTTGAAAATTTATATTAGTAAACTTAAACAAAGGTCAAATTTAATGGAGGTTAGTGCAAATCGGTGCAAGCATGAAACAACATAGACTTTTGGAGGATACCTATTTTACAATTTTTATACAATTTATTGGTGACTAGTGGGAATCACGAATTCGGTATATGAATAAATAAACTCAACTGTGACATGTGATAGACCCAAAGGAAATTTAAGAATAAGGAAATATTGCATATTTATATTATTCTGACAGATAAATTCGATTACATCTGACCTTATCCTGTCCTTTTCTATAGCGCAGAATTGCAGTTTGCTAGAGCGAGAAATAAAACGTTACCTATCTCCTCAGGGACAGGGATGCAACATTTATCAAATATAATTTATAAAGCGTATTCGTAATTTGTCAAAGATTTTTTGTAATTGATAATTTGTTTTAAGCGGCCTAGGGCTTAAACTAAGTAGTAACTTTAGTCTTCATTATAATAAGACGTTTAGTGTTCTTATGTTATTCTATCTTCCTGTGTTAACCTGTCTTCCTGTGGATTGCACAAACGTTCATTATAATTGTCATTAATTTAAAGAGACATTACAATGACATTACCAATACAAATTTTCAATTTTAGAACATGTATACAGTCAGTCGCTCAAAAGTCCATTGAGGTTTAATGACGCCTTTAAGCTCTAATGAATGTTAAATTTGTAACGGTAAAGATGCTTTAAACTAATGACGTAATTAAACGTTAAAGGACGTTTCTGCAACTGGACATTCATCATTTTTTGTGATAATTATTTATTATTTCAAATCAACAAAAAGACTAATTAAAACCAATTTTCTTTTACAGTGCAAGACAAGACTAGGTTCAAAGCGTTCCGTATAGGCATAAACGTGATGTTATTTCAAGAGACATGTGGTTACCTTGTGGTGCTGACGTACGCTGGGTCCATCTTCGAACGTGCATCGGACTCCATCAACCTGAAGCTGAGCCCCAACAAACAGACCATAGTGGTTGGGACATTGCAGTTTGTGGGGTCAATCGTGGCCAGTTGTATTGTCGAGAAGACGGGTCGGAAGGTGAGCTCTTTTAAAAGAGGTCAGCAGTAAAAGACAAAACGAAAATTTATTTAAACATATTAGTCATTCCTCATTGCGCAAATTCTTTTTACTTAAAAATATGCCATAAATTTCTTATTTCACAAAATCATAGATCAAAATGAACCTCTTACTTACAAATGTATTGTCTTATATTTATTATTATTTATTTAAAGTAACTTTCGCCAATTTTAATGTGTGGCTCCTTAGTTTAAAAGAAGCGATTCTAAAGCTCCCAAACTGCTTTCAACATGCAATCACGATCCGCATGTCGTCTGATATCGTTTACCTATCTCTTAGACGGCCACGAGATCTTTTGTTATACAGAATTTGTTTTGTCCACCTAATATGCTTGCTATATGGCACGGACATATTGGACACACAGTCAATATCTACCTACTTTTAGCGATTACGGAGATAACATCCTTTAAGTTGGTTATAAATAGTTTTGTTTTTATATACAATTTGTTAGCTGTTTTTCTTCGTTGAGTAGTAGCCTTGACCTATTCTATGTTCTTTATGACCCTCTTCGGTAGTGAAGTTACGTCACTAGCACCGCAGTTATTACTTTATGCCTTCTTAGAAAAGATATTATGCTTTTCCTGAGTTCTATAGGATTATAAGTGTGACCAAAATCTATTGTGTGATCGTGCTTAAAAGCACATGTACACTCAAAAGACAATTTTCAACAAATTAATAAATTTTCAATCTATGTGTCTTTTACAAATAAAAAAGTCATCCACGACATATATGAGCTGCAATTAAAAACGAGAAAACTTCAAATTTAGATACCTAATATCACATACGTCGCTCGGTTTCCAGGATAAATATCTAGAACCCTCGTATTTCACAGCTATTCCAAACAATAGGTATTCATTTCCTAAAACGTAAATTTTCTACATTTACCCTTCCTGGAATCGAAAGGATTTAAACAGAAATGGCGACACCTTAAAACCTGTGCGCGAACCACTCTGCGACGGAGGTCCTTTGTTTATGTCACAGTGGCTGCTGGCGAGCACGTCGCTGGTGACGGGCGTGTCGATGCTGACGCTGGGCGCGTGGTTCCTGGTGACGTCATCGGGCGCGTGGCTGCCGGGCTGGCTGCCGGCGCTGGCCATGTGCACGTGCATATTCGCGGACGCGGCCGGCTTCCAACCAGTGCCGTACGTGATCATGTCCGAACTGTTCTCGTTTCAGGTAATATAAGAGCTCTAATAGTCATTTACATTAGAAGTAATATATTATATGTTGTTTCGAGCTCTCGTGGTCATTTACATTAGAATGATACTTGTTTACGGAATTATTCCCGATATTTCAGATTTCTATTTTATTGCGTAATTTTTAACGTTACCAATACCGCTCATATAGATCAAATTATACTGAAATGTAAAACTTTTAACAAAAATATAATTATATTATAATATTTAGTCTGGATTATACTTTATGAGCAATTACAGTTATGGTTTATGTCAAATTTGAACTTAAATTCAAACTGCCAGCTGACTTTAACATTCAAAGTCAAAGTCAAAGTCAAAATAATCTTTATTCAAATAGACTTCTTAAAAGTACTTTTGAATCGTCCAACATTTTTTCCCTACCACTCGTTCAGGACGTCTTTTGGCTGATAAGAAGAACGAGCAAGAAACTCACCAGCTCTAATATGAGTAATGACATTTACAAAAACCATGTCATTACCAGATCAATACATTATAAACAGAGATAAAAAAAAAACTATGGTCTTATAATAATAACATAATCATTTAATAATAATGGAAACAAGATAATGAGTTTAGAAGTAATCACCTATCCAGTTGCTGGATCATCTCAAGTCCAAGCGTTCTTATCTGTTATATAATCGGATACCTTATAATAAGCTTTTTTAATAAGTATTTTTTTAATAGTAGATTTAAACTGCATGATATCTAATTGTTGTATTTTGCTTGGGACCTTATTGTAGAAGCGCACACAAAGACCCTTGAAAGAGTTATTAACTTTTTGCAGTCTAGTGACAGGCACCGTTAATTTATTTTTATTTCTTGTATTAAAATTGTGTACATCACTTTTTATAGAAAACAAACTAATATTTTTACGAACGTACATTAAGTTCTCGTATATGTATTGAGAAGCAAAAAAAAAATAAAAAAAAATAAAGCTTGGGCGATTATAGTTAGCAGCTAAAGTTATCATGACGTCCTCTGCCGAAGGCCTAATGATGCAACTCATTATTTGCTTAACCGGTACTTTAACATTTTTATTATTGTTAAATAAGTTGGTGCTACTTACCCTTGCTGTTGCATTTATTATATTCAATACTCATTTATTCCAGTTCGAGTCAAATCTAAATAACCATTGTTCAAAATTATTATTCCTTTAACCAATCGCAAATTAGACTTAAACCAATCGTAAACTTTTTCCAAATTGATTGTATTTTTTTCAGTATCGTGGTGTTGCGACATCACTCATCATTTCTGCGACAGCGCTGAGCGACTTCATCCAAACAAAGGCTTACGACCCCCTACTAAAGTTATTGGGAATCCATTGGGTTTTCATAATATTTTCAATTATCTGCTTCATGGGTACATTTTATACAATCATATGGGTGCCGGAAACTAAGGGAAGGACTGTGGAAGAAATATACGCCATATTGGAAGGAAAGAAAGAGACAAAAGATGTGGAGACTTCACGGCAAGGCAAGGAAATTAGTAGGTTATGAGACGTAGGAATCGATGCAGACAATTTCAATTTTGTTTGTGATTCGACTCATTTTAATATTGGAATTGTTGTTTCATGTATTTTATGAATAAGCCTTTATAATTTTTAGGCTAAATAAGCAATATAAGCATAGCTGTAAATACACCATATATTTAAAGCTATGCTAACTCTGTTATAATCAGTGGTCGGAATTAGGTAGAGTTATTCATGTACTTACACTGATTTCATACAGCGAGAGAATAAAGTGGATATGCCTCAAAACCCGAGATTAATTTTAAAGAGCAGAAAAAATCCTTTGATTTTTTTAATAAAAAATTATTTACTTTTACACAATTTAAACTACTGCACGCACGACGTTGCCAAACTTACATCAATGACATCAGTTGTCCAAAGATGTCCAAGATTGTCCAATAGAAATCTCGGGAAGGTCCACATTACTATCAACATTTCGATGCAAGTACATAAATAACTCTACCTAATTCCGACCTCTGGTTATAATACATGCTCTAACTCGTTGAACGAGGCGTTATAAAGGTATAATTAAATAAATACTTTATTACCTTTTAAGTAAGTTGTATTTGCAACGTTTGACAACGAGTTTTAGACTGTTATAACAAAATATGTTTCTTAAAGTACTGGTAATGAATTTATAGGTATCTTATATTTCTCTATTGTTTGCAAAAAAATATTAATATAACCTAATTTTTCCAATTAAATCAATACTTTGTAATAACTTGATACTTCTGCATAAATTAATACCATATGGTAATTTAATATCTATATTTATTTTACTTATTATTTCTATGCATGAAAATATGCTACAAAATAGCATTATCCTGTATTTCTTTTTAGATATTTATAAATTGCACATAATTCTTTAACTAACACATCCCAGTATTACACTTAAAACGTAGTATTATAATAAAAATACGATTACTTGATAATTTGAAGTAATTTCTTTTTGTTTTTTCTTCTTCTATTTTCATTATCAACTGCTCTGTAATAATGTTTGTACTTTAACATGTATGTATTATTTACAATACTCAGTACCAAAGTAAAATCTGAGCAAAATTAAAAATGTATATATTTCAAAAATAATACAATTTCAAAAAGCTGTGATAAATAATACATATCTAAAAGGAGGTTAATCTTTAATATTAATTAGCTAATAACCCCACCCACGCCCTTGTTTTGAGTTTATTTTCAGGCTGACTGTACAAGAAGTCACGTATTTTAATATGGAACTCAAAACTTCTAACTTCATATCGTTCTTATTATAAAAGTTAGTATTTGGTTTAAACCATTTACCGCCTTAAGCAAATTGACAATAGCAGAAGAGAAGAACTCAAAATGAGACGTGTTGACTTATTTTGTTCGGATAATGGTTTAAAGCTGGTATTAAAGTTAGTCCTTGTTTCAAAATAAGACGGATGTTCACAACGATGTTATGTTAATTTAATTTAAAGATATTAATGTATGATCCACACGGTTGCAAACCAGCATTCGCAATAAATATGAACTTGCTTATTGCCAACCATCCAAACGCCAGTTGTAAATTTCGGATAACCTTTGTTGGAACGTTCGTTTACAACAGTGTAGACCGTGTAGACAACACTTAAGGATAGTTTTATAAGTTCTTCCTTCTGGTTTAATTTAAAAATGGAACAATGTATCAGACATGTTCCTATTTGCTCAAACGTCTAATAAAATTGTCGTTGGTTTACCGTTATCATTAAAATTTTTCAAATTTAGAACATTCTTCTTCGTTCAACATTATTTATTTTTAAAACGAAAACTTATGAAATGCAGGCAATTAGAATTCATGAATACATATTGAGAAATTTCGTTCCCAATAAGTTTGTAGATAGAGATGTAAAATATCATCACAAAAATTAGATATAATGTACTCACTACCATAGACATGAATTCGCTTCATAGTCCATAATTTTCGCTGAAAGCTAATTAGAATTTATCCAATATCCGTGAATCTAGACGTCACTATGAATAGCCTGCGCCGCGTGTCGCAACACGTGGGATGGGGCTAATTTATGATGCCATACTAAATTATAGTACAAACCCATCCACGCGGCAGAGGCTACGCCAATAATTTTCTTTCTTGACATTCCAACGCTGAACTGTCATTTTGTCCCATGAATTTAAAATACGTGTTTTTATTTATATTGTGATAAAGATTGATATTAATGATGATGAGATACGTGATGTATGCGCCGTCTTATTCCATTGTGATAATATTATGACGAATTACTAGTAAATTAATTTTAATTGTAAGAATAAAAATAATTATTATTTATTACAACACACTTCTGAGTTTTTTTTTTGGGTATCATAAAATTTTATTGATGGCAATTCAATTATTATTGAAGTCGCGAAATGTGAAAATCGCGAAGATGGGTCACCAAAACTTTTTTAATCTCGATCTCCTTCGTACTTCGGAAGGTACTTAAACGTTGGTTGCAGCAACATCTGCAATCCACATTGGATCTGCGTGTGGATTATGGCCCATTCATAGGTCATTTGTAGCCTTTGTTTAGGGAAGGCCCCAGTAATGGGGACATTAATGGTCCGATAATAATGATGATGCTCTGACTGAACTACATAGATAGAAGTTATAGACTGAACTACATAGATACATTAATGTTATAGAATCGTACTTTGATAAGAAAACGTAATGAAAACAAAACCTTAGGGGTATCAGCACAGTTAGAAAGGATCAGCTTTCAAGTCCTGACTAGAAAATCTGGGACAAAAAATGTTCAGAGTACAGAGTTAAGAGAATCCATTCACGTTCAAATCAAATGGGTACTTTTAGAAGGTGATTTCAGTCATAAAAACCGACTATCATAATATATTAGAAGCAACGAGGAAGAAAAAGACGTATGCACCGTGCCTTGTGATGGTCGCTCATTCATTCCTCTCTGCCTATCCCACAAATGATACGGCATGAAGCTGAACATTGATCGATGGATATTCTTCTATTAAGTTCTACCACTTTCCTTCACCTGTTTTCCGTTTCCAATTCAATATGAAATATGTAAAACATATAATGTTACATAGCAATAATATTTTATTTCACAATGGAGCAGTAAAATGTGTTCGCAATTTTATAGCGAACGTAAAAAATATTTGATTTTCACAAATAAACAAAATGTTAATCTGTCATGTTATCTTGTTGACTTTTACATGGGTTTTTGTTGAGTCCTCCAAATATTTAGACAGTAAAAACGATTCTGGTAAGATTCTTGGTATCTAACTATATTTATATGTAAGAATTATTGCGGGGGAGACAGAGACAACTTAACGGCACAATCATTTACATAGAATTAATTTCTATGCATATCTCATTCACAACATAGACACGTAAACTCACGCATAGTATGCACGAAAGTTTGTAACCATATTTACTTTTTTGTATTCCTTATGATATTACAACTTGTTTGTACTTAGTACCTATCTAAATATTGAAATGTTTTTGGGGAGATACTGGCTTCTACGAGGGTCAAACTGAAAGTTCTTAGAAAATCAAAAACTGATTACATTAGCCAGTTATTAGTTTTATTATATCTTTTCAAAATATTGTCCATTCACGTCAATACACCGCTGCATGCGATGGAACCACTGGGAAAAGCACTTTGCCCACTCGTCCTTAGGGGTCTCTTCAATGGCATCGCGATACGCAGCCACCGCTTCTTCAGCATTCATAAACCGCTTTCCTTTAAGTTTTTCTTTAATTTTTGGAAATAAATAAAAATCACAAGGCGCGAGGTCGGGGCTATACGGCGGGTGACCCAGTAATTCAACGTTTGATGTCGCCAAATAGTCGATCGTTCGCTTGGCGGTGTGCGACGAGGCGTTGTCGTGGTGAAGGAGGATCCTACTGCGAGGTCGTTTCTCTCGAACTTTTTCCAAGACAAGTGGCAAACAATTGGTAGTGTACCATTCTGCAGAAACTGTTTTTTGATCCTCTAACACAATTGTTGCAAAATGACCTATCCTTCCAAAGAACGAGGCCACCATTTTTTTTCCCGCACTTCGATCTCTCTTCACTTTAGTTGGCAACTCCTCGAAAGGAAACACCCACTGAGCAGATTGTCTTTTGGTTTTAGGATCATAACAGTAAATCCAGCTTTCGTCACCTGTTAGTATGTCGAACACAGCATTTGAGTCACCTCCGTTAAATCTTTCAATCATTTTACGACACCAATCCACACGATGGAGTTTTTGAGCCTCAGTCAAATTATGAGGTATCCACCGGGCGCAAAGCTTCCTGACCGCTAAATGTTCGTGGAGGATTTTGTGCACTTGACTCATACCGATGCCTAAGCTTGTCCGAATCTGTTGATAGGTCACTCTTTTGTCAGTCTCTATCATACGCCGCACAACACAGATGTTATCTTCAGTCGTCGCCGTAGAAGGCCGTCCCTCACGTAAATCATCAGTGAGATTAGTGCGACCACGTTTAAACTCATTAAACCAGTTGTAAACAGTCGCACGAGATGGGGCTTCATCGTGAAAGGTCAATCGTAGTCTATCATAACTTTCTTGTTGACTTAAATGACATCGAAAGTCATAAAAAATCATTGCACGAAAATTTTCTCGTGTTAAATTCATGATGACGTGACACAGACAATTTTCAATTTGCCGCCAAATCGTAAAACAAATGACAAATGAATGAAATATATACTCAGTAATATTGGCAAAGAGTTATATTTTCAAATTTTAGAATTATTTTTTTATTATATTGTTTATAAGTGGCCAGTTCTAAGAACTTTCAGTTTGACCCTCGTATAATACAGGTAAAACTAGCATAGAAGTCAGGGCCTCAAATATTTATGTAACCGGTATTTGTACAAAAATAAAGGAATTATTATTATTACATTCTAGACACTAATAGGATGATGACGATACTGATGAATGTCTAGGATCTAGGATTCCATCTATTGAGAAAGCTTTCAATGGATGGAATTAATTAGGAAGTACTCACCGTGTTGCCCTAACATGGATTATATGTGTTATCGACTGACTGCTACCCAGGCTTAGCGTATGCAATGGCACAGGCCACGTAGGAAACACATTTCAGCACAGCATAGATTTTTGTAAACAAAAGGTTACTAATAAAAAAAAGTATTTCCCTCGTCGTCTCTTTCATCTGGTCTGCTAAAGATAAAGACAAAAATGGCGCTGTGGGGAATAGGAACCATTGTTCTTTTATTAATGTCATAGTCATAAACTATTGTAAATTTATAGGTAATTATTGTAAAACACACCTGAAATAACCTACAACATTATAATTGATATTAATCAGCAATAGGATAGAACGTTGAAACCTACTCTTTTGCAACGAACGTCAAAAGTAGCCCACATTATCAAGACTTAGGTACTATAACAAAAGAGAAACGAAAAAGAAAAACTCTTCCCAAGATCAAAAAACAAGGCAAATGCAACAGCGAGGATATACCTACATAAAAAAATAGTCATGCTATTGATAATACAGCCGAAAGCGTACATACCATATAAGCTTCTAAAACAATTTGTGAAACAGAAACCTTCACTCCTGAAAGAAGACATCACTCCCAAAAACAAGGCCTTCGCATCAGGAATGAATTTGGACGGGGGATCGACGACCGGGGCATACTACGAATCAAAGGCGGCACCGTCACAGACACCAAGAATTACCCGTACATGGCGGCCATTATAATTAATGGTAGACTGTGGTGCGCCGGCACAATTGTAGATATCAATTGGGTTGTAACCGCAGCGCATTGCTTGAATTAGTAAGTGTCAAACTGGAGTGTGTCTACTTTGCACATGTTACATTATAAATCGCAATTTTTTTATCGGTTATATCACAGAACACACTTCAATTGAATATTTAACATAAATCTAACTTGTCGATTTAATTCCATAAAGAAAATGTAGTCTATCATAAGAGACGAGTGTGTACCGATGTGTACAGCACCTACACAAACTGATGCTTAATTCTAACTTTTTGTTAGTTTATTTCTAGTGTGGATGTCAAAATAACCTGCATGATTTCCACTTAAATAAAAATGAAACACCTAACGCTCAAAGTACCTAACTATGTTTCGTTACTGACAGACAAACATATCATCCTTCTTATCATCAGGGTCACCTAATTCAAACTAATATAATTAATAATCCATGTAAATATCATATTTAGTATTTATCTGAAGATAAAAGCAAAGTTTTCAGAATCGTCTGTTGACTTATGAATAGATATTTTATGAAACACTTAAATGATACTAAATGAGTATCTAAAATTGTTGCGCTTAACTCATCAAACTGAAATGTCATTTATAAATAATTCTTTTAATTTTGTTATACTCTTAAAATCGACAATCGACATATCATGGACTGTTTTCGTCGTCTTTGTTGCTCTAGTCTATGTATTTTCATTGTCATGGAGTAAGGATACAGCACGATGAAGTTGACAATATAACAAAAAATTGGTTTTAAAAGTGAAACCCGGTAACATTACTATATTAACTTCCTAGCATAGGTATTTATTTTTCAGTTCCACTTGAGCTTTGTTTTCATTATAGCTAATGTTTGTGACGTCAACTCATACAAGCTTTATTGCTTTTTCTACTTTACACAATCACATATTTTATGAACCGAGAAACAACCCTTGATCCTACGCTGTACTTAGTAATAAGGCTAACTTAATGCTTTAGCCATCATATAGTTATAGCTTTGAGAAAGGCATAAATTTCCCAGAATTTTGGTAGCGCAATAATAACCCGTTTCAGTCTGCAATTACGAAGGTTAATAATACAAAATTCGCAAAGCCATTTACTGAATGAATAAACAAAATAAATATTATTTTCAGCTGTTGATCCCAACTGCATCTGCTGCATCAACACAAATGCGTATTGTTCCGTAAAAATGTGATTGGAAAAGACCGGATCTCCAGCAATGATTTTAGTTCCTGATACTTTCAGAATCATTAATCATTCTTTTCCTTATACCTAGTGTTCTTCATGTGTCCCCGATGAAGACTCTCGGTCAGTTCGTGAAAGTCCGTGTTGGCAGTCGGCGTGCACATGAGGGTGGTACCTTAATGGATGTGATAGGGGCAGTAAGACATCCCAAGTTTGAGGAGGAGCCTGTGCCGCATGCTGACGTGGCACTACTCAAGCTATCAGAAAACTTGGGTGATTTATTAAAAACATGGATATTTAATTTTGTCATATTATAGGAAAATACTATAACCAAACTCTTTAGCAATTGAAAAACAAAACTTGGTATGTTTTTATCTTTAACCTTAATGAAACCTCTTTTTATTGTCAATACAGGGGAAGTGCACCTTATACTTTAAAGTAAGGCTCTTCAGTCTCTCGCACTTGCTCCAAGAAGCAAATCATGTGTGGTCTACATGATAAAAGCCGCTACGGAATAGGTATTACGTGAGGGTTCACGGGGATGTCCTAGGGGGATTCGGCAAGGACAGCTATAGACTTCGCCCTACAGCCTTATTGAAACTTACTCGATTAAAACAGTTATAAATTCTTTAACACTTTCTTTCACAGAGTTTAGTAAGTTCGTGAACCTGATCAAGATATATGAAGGTGTTAAAGAGCCATACGCACAGAGTTTCGTCGTGGTCAGCGGGTGGGGTGCCACCAGGGTAATTCATATTGATATTCTATTATTGCTCATACTGCTGGAGTAGTAATTCTGCTGGATATACTGCTGGAGTAGTAAATGTTTCCTGATGTTAAATCATCAAGGAAAAACAGGCAACAGACCAACGTATTTATTGGTTGATAGTTCTCGTTGGCTAGTCGTAGCTGTAATGTCGTATCACGTGGACCTTGATGGTACAGTGGATAGCGTGATGCGCAGGTCATAGCGTGCGCAAGTCATAGCGTGACGCGCAGGTAACATTACTTTCACAATTATCATTAGATGGTTAACTAAAATTTTGTATCTCGAATTCCTTCGTATTTCAGAAACTAAGTTAATTTGGTCCCGGTTGTATGCAGCTCACATTGGGCTCTCGTGATTTCCCCTATTTGCTTTCATTCATAAGGAATGCTTGGACCCTATTAGTAGGGACATTAGTAGTCTGATGGTGGACTGATTGGAAGCTAATAAATATTCAAGTTTTATAGTATTACGTACACTCAAGTAGAACAACTTGAACTTGATGGTGATATTTTGGTGTAGGGCTCAGATACTGCCTTTCGTGACCATACGCCTGATCTGCTAACGTCAAGGCTGAAGGTCCGGTCACGTCACTATTGCATCGACGCATACCAGCTCGTCAACGGGTTCCAGTTCACCGAGGATTTCTTCTGTGCTTCTCTTAGGAACGGCACTAGAGATGCGTGCTTAGTACGTATACATATCTAAAATGTTTTCTCATAGAAATTATCATTACTAACTTTAGAATTTTCCTTGTCTGGGTATTATTAATAAGTTATATTGTTTCGGCAGTTTTTTTTCTTGGGAATATTTAAAAGCTACGTAGTAACGACACATTAATTTCACATATAAGTAAACATGTACTCAAATAAATATAAAATGTTAAGTTAACCCCATGCACATTACTATTTAAGTATCACTTTATGAGTTACTGGCTGTTTTCCCGCCACTTAAATTATAGCATATGTAGCTTCCCTAAGTAATTTTTTGAAATCGGCTCTGTACATTCAGAACCTATTCAATGCAATCAAATCTTCTTTATAATATTAATATAGAAAGAAACGTGACTTTTGTATCTTTTAGTCCTAAAAAGTTAGTAGAGTTTAATGTAAAATAAGTGCACTTGACAATGAAACTCATAAAACATTTGCCAATAGTTCGATGCAGGTGCTCCAGCAGTGCAACAGAATCGTCTGATGGGCATCATGAGCTTCGGGCCAGAGCGATGCGGCCATGAATTTCAACCCGCCGTCTTCGTCAAGGCATTCTACTTCAGGTACAGATGCTCCATAATACGAGAGCTTTAGCTACCTATCTTAATGAAACTTGAAATATAAGCAATGTATACAATATTGTCAAATATTTAGTAACATTATAAATGTTTAAGACCAAATGACAGTAACTTAAAGCTTGTTGAGAATTCTGAGTAAATAAATACTCTGCTTATTTCAGTATATATTGTTAGATTGGCAAAGTAAAAATTATTGATAAGCAACTAATTAAATTCTACAGAGACTTCGTGAAACAAACGATATCATCGTACAAGACAACAGAAGACTTAATCGAAGCTATGAAGGACGTAGATCCGATGATAATACCTTACATGAAGCCGACCAAGGAAACGACAACGGTACTGCCAATAGACTACATCAACCGCGAGGACATCACACTACCCGATGAGAGGCACGATTGAATACACCGATTAAATCAAATCAATAGTTTTTTTATTAAATTTCCGTCTTTACGTTTTTTGCATTCGGTTTGTTTGGGTAGGTACCCTATAGGTACGTCTGGTCATTGATAAATACGACTTTCTAAGTTAACAAGTTTTTATTGTGGTTCTTCATGCAAATCATAATTTATTCCAAAATAGATAGCTACTTTAATTCCTAAAATCGTTATCATAATTGTTATGGCTTTGAAAGGAATTGTGATACAGGATATGTAAATTTCGATTAAATAAATTTGTTAAAAATTAACTTTTTTGATTTTCTGTACAAATCAGCAATTTCATACTTTAACCCCTATTATTTATATCAGCGTAAACCTTTCTTATATATAGATTATACTTTTTAAACGAAACAACTTTTAAACGGTTTAATAAGACCTATTCAAGACAAACAATACATTAGTCTTATATGAACACGGAACCTGAAAGGGTCCGAAACGTTAATAAAACTAAATACAAACGCGACGAAACCGTTTAAAAGTTGTTTCATTTATGGATAGTGCGCGTCAAAGTATAAGAAATCAATATACCTAGATAATACTTTTTTATATAATTATGTTATTAAACACTCTTTTGTAGATTTTGTAGTAATTTTTGGAGTTCTATTATATTTAATCTGATTTAATCTTAGAGTTATAGAGCTTGGATCGTAGACATTTCTATAGCATAGATTTATTATGCCAGTAAAGTTATTTCATATACTTTAATCTTTGGTTGTCTTGTACCCGATCCTCTTCAGCTATTACTTCAGCTTTCCCTATTTCCATTGAGCTATCAATAATAAATATATTTATATTATTTTATGCAAGTAGGTATGTATACCGATTTCTTCGTGGTTACATCATGCAAATAAATAAAAAATTCAGGACTTTCATTGTAAATATAATTCCTTTTATTTAGATATTTAATATTTTAGTGATACCTATACAAAACATAAACCTATAGTATACGTATCACTAAAAATAATGAAATAAAATCATTTTAAAAAAATAGAACCGACTACATATTGTAAAAAGGTTAAGATTAACCGTTATCGGGCGGTTTTCATTTAATAAACTACAGAAAACCTCGGCCCGATAAAACGGATCTTGAAAAAGGAACCGCTATAACTAACCGAATAAATTTGACCTTTTGAAAATTTGAAGTTGGTTCTATTTTTGAAAAATATTTTTTTTTTCTTTAAATATCGCTGTAGTTGACTTTTTCTCGAAGGGGAGGGAGACTGCGTAGATACTGATGATTGCGAAAAAAACATGAAGTAACTTAAATACGGCACTGATCCCATGCTATCTCTAGCATTGGTGCCGTCTAGTTTTCATTTTTTTACGCCCAACCAAAAGTGCTTCGTTGCTCTTTAGAGTGCGGGACGGCTCCAATTCTATTCTACAAGTAATAGAAGGACGATACGACTTCCCTATTATATAAAGCACATCCGGAGATGTATTGCGGAAACAAAATTAGTTTTCGAGTAATTATAAATGATAGTAACACTAGTTTTTAAGTTTATTTTTTCTGAATGTTGTCCGAAATAAAAATTATTATGATTAAAAGAATAATTATATATTTCTTAATGATTTAATAAAATGCACGAAATGACAAAATGTCGTTAGGTTGACATGCAAACATTACATTACACTGACCTTGGTCAGTCGGTCAGTCAGTGTCTGTTATGATGACAATGAATGTTGCCAGACATTAGATACCGAAACCCCCCAATTCATAAGCGAAAATCCATTTGGAAATAATTTAACTTTTTTTAGATTTGAGAGTGGTAATGAAGAGTGTTTTTTTTTCTATACCTACTTAGTGAATTTTTAACATAAATCATAAAGTCAGCTTTATTCAAATACACATATTTAATAAAAGTACCTCTATCAGAGTTTTTTTCCTACCACTCGTTCGGAATATCTTTTGGGTGATAATAACGAACAGGAAACTCATTAGCTCTAATAGAAATTATGACATGTATTAGGTAAATTATTTACTATCTGTCAGTCTCAGTTCGCTTAATTTCTTTGAATTTTATTCCATAATTATCTTTTATACAAAACCTTGTCATGATAGTAACGAAATCAAAAAACAGTCATATAATTTGGAGCAGTCGTTCTGAAGACATCAGAACTCACATATAATATGTGATAAACTTCTATTTTTCGAATTAAAATTTTGCTAAAAGAAAAACTCAGAATAACTACAATATTAAGATGAATCAAAATCCACAGTGAACATCGTGTAGAGATAATATTATACAAAGAGAGAAAAAATACTATAAATGTAAAATGTAAAACGAGCTAACCTATCATTCTGGCAATACTGATAAATTGTGTGTCTAAAATAACTTCACACATCTCATAAAAATACCAAGCAATTCTCAAACTTATTTCCTTGAAATAAAGCTCATGTAGAGACATCTTGAGTGTCAAGAAATGATTGTGTACGCACATGTTTGGAAAAGTATGAAGTTGTGTACATTTTACTAATTTCATTCAACTCGTGTTTCTCGCCCACTTTATTCAGTCAGTGGCCAACTAACCGATCGACAGAATATTAGTGTCGTTAAATTTCATAAAAAGTTCAATAAACTTACGTAAAAGTGATACCACTATAAACGTTAATTTTACATAACTTTTGCATGTTTTAGTGTTGAAAAGTATTATAACCTCAAAACTTTTTGATGATTTAAAAAAGTTTTAATACCTAGCCTATAGTACAATTTATTTGAAAAAAGCGTATGTAGAGCACCTTTTTTATGCAGGAGAAAAATGATTTGTATTGTTTAAACAGTGCCATGTTTTTTAAAGGTGCGAAGTGTGCAATTTATACAGCCAAGAAATAATTCTACAGTAGACATGGATGAACAGATACAAAAAGAAAAAGGGAATGCGAGCAGACAAATTTTAACAGCTTTATTGGGTGAGTTAAATAATAAAAAAAAATGATGTAAGTTTTATAATCATTAATACCTGCCTACTGCCAAAATAATATTATCTTGAGCTCCGTGCTTCGAAAGGCACGTTAATGCGTTAGTCCTGGCTATATATGCAATCGTTAGCACCCACCATTCCGGAATAGGCCCTCGTATCATGGCATATTCTCACTATTCCATTCGATGCCGTCCATCATTATGCCTTTGTCCCAACAGTGGGGATATTAATGGGCTGGTGATGATGTAATACTGGCAAAACCGTAATAGATAAAAGTAAAAGTAATTTTTCATTAAGAATATTTTTCAGTATAGCATTGTGAATGCAATATTGATAAAATATAATAAAACAAAAGTAGTTCTAATACGTATTTTTACAAAACTTTTGTGATCATGTTGGTAAAGGTAGAGCTTAAATAAAATAAACTTTACGCGCACTGACATATGAAATAAAACTCTTTAACGCTTTTTAAAAGTAGTTTAATTGAAAACATGTTTTCTTTTTCGTCTTAGCTCTCGTGTTCTTTCTTTCACCTACGGAAAATGAATACGGTGAAAGAATTTTCATGATCGGATTAGTTTTCCTAAGATTACAAACAAACAACGTTACAAACTTTACCTCTTTATAATATTAATATAGATAAAATTCGTTAAAAAAATATTTACGCAAGTTTTTGTATTTATTGTAACAGTAAACATGATCGGGAAAAATTTTATAAGAAATCGGGACGCGAGACAACATCATTGAAATCGGGACTGTCCCGGAAAATTCAGGGTGGGTTGCACACCTGATTTGAGGTCTGTGCCCTAGAACTGGGGACATTAATATGTTGATGATGAAAAGCAAACTTTTGTAAAATGTTTATGTGTATACCTAATCAGTATCTACCTACCTATTTAGTAAAATTTATTTAATAGAAATCTCTGGTAATTGAACTCGTATTTTAAAATGCAACAACTTAAACTATCGTCAATGATTTTGAAAGAAAATGTGATAATAACCTCTGTTAACTATTTCAATTAAATCCTTGACCCCATCAGAAGATCTCCCAAGAAATTTATTTTTAAACGGAAAAATTCTAAAAAAAAATCTAAATAAATTCTAAAGAAAATATGTGAAAAATCAACATTATGTATTTATCGTTTTTCCTAAAGGTTGACTGGGAGAGAATGCCATTAGCATTAAGTCCGCCTTTTGTGCCATTTCTCTACTGGTCAATAAAGTTTAATAAATAAATAAAAAAAAAAGTAAAGGGATGGTAATAGTAAGGGAAGGGACATCACGATTACCTATGTCCTATGTCACAAGATATACTAGTATAGTAATAGTGGTTTTTATTAATTTGTCTATTGTGCTCTCTCCTTAATATATGCGATTATGTATGCGAGTGTACATCGTAGTTATAAAGAATATTTGGTCTATTTTCCGACAACGTCAACGACCAAATACCTACATTATCGTCATATAGCTATTAATGTCCTCTAGAATTAAATCGAATCCAATAGATCATGACCCACCGCGGTCCAAATGCAGGTTGGTGAGTGTTAAATGCTACCAGATGCAGCAGGGACTGGCTTAATGTGCCGCACTAAGCACGTAGGTGCTCGAGATTATATGTTTTTGGTCACCCAACCTATCACCAGCTCTTGCGAAAGTTGCTCAACTTCCGAATCGCAATCCGAACGCGTTAACTTCGAATAGGACATCGACTCTCTGTAAGTGTGTCAAACGAAAGCAATACAGTAATACATTTTATTGATTTGCACAACATTAATAGGTTTTCTTTCGTCTCATTGAATGTCAATTGTTCAACACTAGGGTTGTCAACCGAACATTTCAAAAATCTTAGATTTATAGCCAGGGCAATAAATTTGAAAACCGGTAGAAAAAATAATTAATGAAAGTTCATAAAATATCTTATCTACATTTTATTAGTCTGCGATTAATTAGTTAAAAATATAAATGCAAATGAGGGCATGGGCCGTCACTGAAATAATGTTCCATGTACTTACGTAATTTTGAACCGACTTCAAAATCGAAAAGGAGGAGGTTTAGAGGGTGGATTGAAAAGTTCGCGGCCTCAGCAAGAAAACAATATAAAATATTAGCAAAAGTAATTTTATTTTTCCACGTAATCTCCACTTAACTCTATGCATTTCTTCCATCTGGTTTCCGACGCCTTTATGCCCGTCATAAAAAAAGTTTCTTCAAGGCCTTCAAAAAAGTCACCCACTGCAGCCTCGACCTCCTGGTCGGCTGGAGTGGGTGACTTTTTTGAAATGAGGACATTTGATGAAAATTTTTAACCTCCAAAGTGTTTTTTTAGGTTTGGAAATAAATGAAAGTCTGAAGATGCCAAATCAGGGAAATAGGCGGGATGGGGCAGTAATTAGTAGTAGTAGTAAGCCACAATCACGAATTAGAGCCAAAGATTCAACAGACGTGTGAACGCGTGCATTATCCTGATGGAACAACACTTTCTTGCTGAGTAATCCTGGCCTTTTCTCTTTGATTGTTTCCCGCAAGCGACGTGAGAGGGTGCAGTAATAAGCCAAGTTTATAGTTTAACATTATGCAAGATAGTCCACCATGTTGACACCCTTAGCATCCCAAAAATCTGACGCCATCACCTTGCCAACTGACAAAAGTGTTTTGACTTTTTTTGGAGTCGGTTCAACACGTTTTTTGCACTGCTTGGATTGTTGTTTTGACTCTGGGGTGTAGAGGTGTACCCAAGTTTCGTCCATTGTTACAAATCTGGATAAAAAATCTTGTGGATCAGCCTCAAACATTTCCAAACAGTCGCGAGAAATCGTGAGGCGTATTCGTTTGTTCGACTGAAAACAAACTGGGTACCCACCGCGCAGAAACCTTAGAAAATCCAAGTTCATTGACTATGATCTTTTGTGTTCGTTCATACGAAATGCCAATAGTGAATGCAATCTCCCTGATGGTCAATCTCCAATCTGTCAATATCGTAGACGTCATAGACTGGCCAGAGCGAGGGTCATCTTCAATACTCTCTCGTTCGCGTTTAAATTCAGCAACCCACTTTTTCACAATCGTATACGACGGAGCAGATTCCCCCAACGTTGTTGACATATCTTCGTGAATCTCTTTTGGAGTCAGTTTTTTTTTTAAACAGGTTTTCGATGATGGCACATTGCTCAATTTCCTCCATTTGTTAAAAATGCTGAACAAAGACTCACAAAATTCAGCCTAATTTAAATACAGTTAATGCTACTACGATAGAATTTTACAATTTGACAACCAGAGATTAAACTAATCGAATGGGGTCAGTTACATTAAAATAGTTTTAATATTTATGTGTAAGGCTGCGAACTTTTCAATCCACACTCGTATCTTCGACGGCGATGTATGTTTTTTTATAAAAAAACAAAGTACGTGTTTCATCAGATATCACCTAAATATTTAGATGATGTATGTTTATTTCAGCTAAAAAACAAAAGATTGGTTATTTTTCATGTATTAAAAAATCTATTAAAACGCATTGACAGTCGAAATTTAAAAGCGCACAATATTAATGTATAACAGGATGAGGGAAATTAAAAAATATCTCTATATTTTCAACAAAATAGATTTCAAACTTAAATAAAGTGATAAATAGGTACTCATTTCAAAAGCGACTTATTAAAAAAATGGTTATTGATTAAATGATAGGTTGAATTTCAATAGCATTTTCTCGAATAAAACGCTTTTTAACAGACTTCAAAACCCAAAATGAGGAGGCTATATGTTCGACGGCATTTGGATGTTCTTCTCTAGGGTGTACTTTTTATTTCAAGTTCTATATTTTTACGCTTACCAAAAATATTGACTATAAAAAAAAATTGACCGTTTAATAAATAATAACACATGCCGTTGCCGAATTACGATTCTTAGTTGTCCATACAAATAGCGCGAGTACTGCGCTACGCCCCATAACCGCGAGGTCCGTATCCGTACCGTGTTAGGTCCTGGGTAGCTCGGTGGTTAAAGAAAGGTCATGGGTTTGAGTACCATCTCAGAGTACCAGGACCAAAGTGTATTTTTAAGCATTTTTCATTGAAAATACAATAATAACTATTTAATTCTGTAAATAATACTCTATTAATTCTTCTTTTTTAAATCTCTAACAATGTATCCTAAAAATCACTTTTCGAGAACGTGTCCTTGATCGAATTGATAGTTTCGATATTACTTTACAGCGACGATTCCAACCTTCACGTATGGAATCCAGATCGGTTGGTTATCACCGATGGGGCCTTTACTTAAATCAGCGTCGTCACCAGCCACAGAGCCGATAGATAACGCCCACATCTCGTGGATGGCGACAGCGTTGCCTCTGTCAGCGATATGTGGCATCCCTTTCTTCAGCTACAGCTCAGACAGATTCGGAAGAAAGATCTGCGTGATGGCCGTCTCTTTTTTATCCGCTGTAAGATAACTGTTTTTGTAATTTTTACCCCTATGATTTATTCAGAAAACTGACTGAAAATCTCCACTCACCATCCAACAATCACTGCATTAGGAGCACTTTAAAATAGAGTATTATATTATATATCATGTAGGCATATTCTAAATCGCTAAGGACGCCAAAATACTCTTCTTTATACAAAGTCAAAGTTATATTTAATTTTATAAGATTTCAATTTCTTATGTAAATTAGTTATTTTCATCATTATATTTTTCATCCTACAGTGCTATTCTGTTATAAAAATAGCATCACGACGTCGAACGCAGCGCTATCACAACTTAAAAATAAAATCAAATAAAACCTGCTTCAAAAGATAATAAAGGTTTTAATTCATTCAAACTCTATGCTGTCACAGCACTGCGCTTGACGTCGAGTTCGAGGTCGTTTTTAACAAAATAGCCTGTGTTTTTGTTTTACATTTTTTTACACTTCCCACTTTACTTTGCTGTTTTGCATCTAATTTACTCTTTTAATTATTCCGTATTTTCTCTTTTCCACAGATATCATGGACGCTCAAATTATCGTCAGTAAATGTGCCTTCACTAATCATAGCCAGAGTAATAGCCGGGCTAGCGTCAGGAGGGTGCTTCGTTGTCGTCCCAGTGTACATCAAGGAAATATCCGACGACTCTTGGCGAGGTGCTTTGGGCTCGTTGACAATGACAGTGTGCAAATTGGGTGTCATTTTTGTGTACGCTATGGGCATGTTAGCTTCCTACACTGTGAACCAAGCGGTGTATTTGACGTTAGCATGTGCCCATGTAGTCGTGTTCTACTTTATGCCGGAGTCACCTAATTATCTGCTGAAGATTGGAAAAGAGGGCGTAAGCAGTTTTTTCAAAGTTCAATAAATAAATAAACAATATTTTTTGGTCAGCCATCCCGTGACCGACCCGTGCGATAGTTGCTTAACAACAAAAATCGTAGGCCGCAACACTTATCCACTACGCCACCGGGCTAAATATCTATTTATATATTATTTCAGAGAGCAGCTAAGGCTATCAGCTGGTTACGCAGTACTAAGCAACGCAGCAAAATAGTAATTAATGAATTAAGCAAACTTCGGGAGGAACAACGGCTAATCGACGCATCTCCTGGGGTCACACTGCGAAGCATTGGTAGGTATATCTATTGAGTGAATATATTCACTGCTACTTCTTCCTTCCTAAAAAATTATCTGGTTTCAAGGGTATATAAATAAATGTTTAGGAGAAATCGCATCTCCCAAAATTCAGGTTGACCCTAGTTTGGGAGATGTAGATCATATTACTAATATAGCAGCCTTAGCTGAGTTTCTTACCGGTTCTTCTCAGTACAAGGCCTCCCGCAGTAGTTTTTCGAACCGTTGGCGTTGTTTTCCACTTTCACAAGTGCTATTTATAAACCTAGAATGAATAAACGATTTTGATTTGATTTCATTAATATTATGTAACGTCATTGTAATCTCTAAAAATAGTCAACAGTCAATGCTTAATAATTTCGACAGGCTCACAAAAGACTTAACATTATGACAAAATAGGTCTCACACCACTACAATCTTGAAATCTAAATACTAACCTTTTTTTTATTTCCCGCCATGTTTCTACTTTTGGTAGCATTGCTGTGCTTTTACCAACCATGCGATCATAACTTAAGGCGATATACGTGCCCTCTTAGAATCTGTGGGCTGACTATCTAATTTCAAAATCTATTGTAATCACTTTCAGAGATATAGCGATTTCAGGAATTAAGTATATTAATTTCAGGAACTAAGTATGTACTATTTAAGTGTCGCAATCGCTTTGGAACGGAGGAAGAGAGATTTTGTACTTTTCTCAATTTAGAAAACAGCCATAAATTATATATTATAGTGGTTTCTTTCTGCGTTAATAGATGGCGTTGTAAAGTATTCTCTGTCACGCTATGGTTTTGAGATTATTAAATGATTTAGATTTGTGTTGCTTTATCCGAACTGCGCTTGTAGGGATTAGGATCACTCTTAGATTAGGAGTGGACTGTATTCTTTTTTGGAAGCACGCCGTCTTCTCGTTAATTTCAGCGGAAGACGGATGTGCCGATTGATCGATACTCTTTTTAAGATGAAATTAATGATGTTCGAGAGGGTATACGTTCCCAAGTGAGAACATTTCCTTCCGTTAATCTGACTTGTTTAGGATCAGTGTCTGTTTATATAGGTATATGCAATAATTAAGAGGCTTTTGTTAATTAATGATGTGCCGATTCGATAATTATACACATTGATTATAGTATTACTCGTAATCGATTCATGTCAATGATTATTAAATATTTTTACCCCAAAAGTTTATTAATGATTTCAGATAAATTTCACCGTATTTTAAAGACACCACTTCTTTATTAGGAACCTTATTTAAAAACAAATAGAACTTAAATTGATTCTTTCTTGCCATTTTATATAAATAAAACAAGCTTCTCCGCGTTTTTTGTAATTGTAGTAATTATTACCCATTTATCCGCTCTCGACGGTGCAATGGTTAGCGCGTTGCGTCTGCGATGCGGAGGTAAAACGAATTCCACAGATGTCAGTCATAAGATGGGTGACCAAAAATTGATTATCTCGAGCCCGTCTATGCTTCGGAAGGCACGTTAAACCGTTGCTCCAAGATGCACCTGCAGTCGTTAACACCCACCAAACCGCACTGGGCCCACATGGTGGGTCATGGCCCAATTTCCTTATTTCATTCGTTCCGGATTCATTCGGTCATAGGGAAAGTCTGTGCCCCTGATATAGATAGGCAATGTAATTGAACACCCATCTTATTCTATAGGATAGTTTCAAAGTACGTAGCGACATTTATGTAGTTTGATTGCGAGAAATACTTTTTTTTACAAAACATTTACATACCTAATAAATAAATTGACACGCGTTAGTTTTTACATGCTCTTTGATTGACACGGCATTGTCTTGCACGTTTTTAATACAGTTTTGACAAAAAATATGTTCACAGATGTGCAACGGTTGATCTATATTTGGATCTTACTAATACCCAGTTGCGCAAACAAACGTTCATTAAAATTGTTATTAGTACTTACTTATTTAGGGTCGGCGCATCAAGAGTAGATCTACCGTTATCGGCACGGTGGACATGCCCACAATCCAAATAGAGTTGTGACGTCACATTTCATGCTCTACTGAGGTCTCTCACGTGGAACATACAACAACACTTTACAAAATCTATTTCACTGAGATTTTGGTACAAATCTTCTTTGCACTCATGTACTAAGAATTTAGAACACCAGTTCATGCTCCTACTCGCACGTGACCTGATTTCAGATGGTTATGCCCACAACCTTTTTTGTTAAACTATTTGGTGTATTAACTAAATGTTTTCGGCCGCGTAAATTATAACCTATGTCACTCGCGTATATTGTAGCTTTCCGTAGGTGAAAGAATTTTTAAAATCGTTTATTTATTTTATTTTATTTGGAATCTATTAGATACAATTAAACAATTCCTCTTTAATATATATAAGTACATAGTATTTTTTTGGATAGATGGTATCTAATAGGGAAAACGGACCATGAGCCTACCGCGCGGATTAAATGTGTATTGGTGGGCTCTGACATCTGCACATGCGATAAATTGGTCATCCATCCTATGACCGACCGTTGCAAAAGTTACTTAACTTCCACATCCTAGACCGAACACGCTAAATACCTACTACGCGATCATTCAAACATCAGTTCAAACTCTGCTTACTACTATTGCTATAAAGTATTAAATTCGTTGGTAAGGTAATATCCAGTCCATTGCAGTGAATGACAAGGCAACGTTTTCCGCTCTCCGCATGACCTTGATGTTGATGGCAATGCAGACATTATCTGGCTGTTTCGCTCTCATGAACTATGCAGCTGACGTGTTCACTCGCGCGGGCAGCGAATGGAGTCCGAATACCCTGGCGCTTTTGATGGGCTCCTTACAACTGGCAGGATCTTTCTTCACTACAATGTCCATTGAGAAATGCGGAAGGAAGGTTAGCATTTAAACGATAACCGTGTGTTGTGTTAATACATAGTTATTGTAACTGAACGTTCATTGACTACGTGTTTGTTCTAGGAAACTATTTTAAAATTTCCTATGATCATATTAAACCATTATCCGATTTATTTTTCTGCAAAAGTGTTACTAAGTAAAGGAAAACATATTTTTATTCGTGTATTTAAATTGTCCCGCGAAAATAATCGGTCACGTGACATTCGAACCGTGACGTCATAGTTAAGTAAATATGAGAACTGGTTGGACGTTTTTTTTTCAAATATTATTAATCGCAAGTTAATTTTGCAAAAATAAAATATTATTACATATTTGTTATAAAAAAAAGATACTACGTACATAGTTATTTTTTATATATAAAGTTACCATGTCCAACATATTTTGTAATTTATTGCTATAACTGTCAAGTATCTAAATGCGTTATAATAAAGTGGGCTAATATTTGAATTGCATCCGTCAATGAGACAGATATATGAAGGTCGTTCAAATAATTACTACATTTCATTGGTTGATGGGTATCTAATTAATTACTACATTTCATCGCCATCTTTCATTCATTTCATTTCCATGTTGTGTACAAATTAATTTATTCACTTGACATTGGCAGAGTTGTGCGAAATGCGCAGATAAGCCATTAATAAAAGATAAAAAAAAATACTAGCAAACTATAACAAATTATTATATTATTAAAGTGTCCCGTAAAGCCCTCGGTCACAAAGTGACTCACACATTAATCATCATACTAAATATCGAGAAATTTGAAATAGTGGTTTTTAATGGTGATGGTTTCTGTTTTATTTTCTATTTAGAAATATAAATTCACATATTTACCCTTAGAAATATGATGTTGATTTCAAAATTATTGCAGGCTTATTAGGACATCAATAAATATTAGACAAAATCACGTACATTGCTCTAATTTCAAGATGAGTAGCTAGAGCCCCCGTATCACAGAGTATCCGAGACAACGAAACTACCACAACACCACACGAGACGATGTAGAAAAATATGTACATTCTCTACATTGACCCGATCGGGAATCGAACCCGGGACATCAGAGATGGCGACGCCGCCACATCATTCCTTTGTACGAAAATGAAAGTGATTTTCCTTGTATGCCTCGACTTCTCCACAGATACCGTTAGCGTGCAGTTCGATGGTAGTGTCGCTGTGTATGGCGACGCTGGCCACCACTTTCCTGGTGGACACCAGTGACGTCACGTGGTTGCCAGCGGTGGCTGTGTGCGTGTGCTTCCTGACTTACGGGGTGGGGCTGGCACCGGTGCCTATGGTCATCATGGCTGAGGTCTTCACATTCCAGGTTATTAAACAGATTTTGTATTTTTTTTCATTTATATTTATAGTGACTTTTTGATATAACCTTAAGGGTAAAGTATGTAGGGCCCCGGATAGTCAAAGGGCAAAGGCATTCTCACTAAGAAGATCGATCTCTTTCTATGACAAACATGCACGTTAATGTGAGACTGAAAAAGATAGACTGCGTACTAGATAATAGTTAAAAAAAATCCAATAACAAAAGAAACGATCAAGAATTGTATGAGAAGTAAGCAAAAAAATAATAAGTAGGGAATATGCGGAATGAACGAGTTAGATATAATAGAAAGAACTGGAATGAAAGTGTATTGCCGACGCCAAAAAAGTGGTTAAAGGGCAAGCGAACAAAATTATTATGAAATTATGAATAGCCAATAATATTACAATGCATATTAGTTTTGACTAAGTATTAGAAGACATGTGACTGGGAAATTCTATTTACCCGTAAACAATATTTTGTCTTTATTCAAAATTGTAATACGAGTCCAAAACATTTTAAATTTTTCGATAATTTATGATGAAATAATATGATGAAAGTAGGACCCAACACTACATCTGATACACAGATAATCTTCAGAACAAACTTATAAGAATGATATCAAATTTTCGTATGAGGACAAATACTCCGTCACAGGATGGGTGAACAAAAAAATATCACCCCGAATTACACCGTGCTTCGGAAGGTACATTAATCCACACTGGGCCAGCGTGTCATCCTCTTAAACCATTCATAAGGAAGGCCCGAGTCCCCACAGTGGACTGATGATAAGGGCTGATAATGAAGTCATGTTAATTTGTACGAGTTAGACTCAATTGGATTAACCGTTTAACGTTCTGTTGACAGATGCGCGCGCGCATGGCGGGCGCATCGATGGCGTTCTCCTTCTTCTGCAGCGGTATGACGGTACTCTTCTACACGCCCATAGCGGACCAATTCGGAGCGCACGTCGTGTTCTACATTTTCTCTGCAGTTACACTATTCGGGGTCTTATACACTATTCTTTGGGTGCCGGAGACGAAAGGCAAAAGTTTGAGAGAGATACAGAGCTTCTGGAAAGAACCAGATCCAGTCCATGTATGAGAAGACTTAAAAGATCAACGAAAATAAATTCTTTACGAGATTATTTATACATTGTCATTTGATGATGGATCAGTGTTATTCCCACTGCTGGGCCACAGGTATACCTTATATAAGGAGGGGCCTAATCTCACCACAAGCAGAATGGTAGCAAGGGCGGAGCCGCCGTTGCGGGCACGATGGGCATGCCCAAAACCCTCAGAGTTAAAACTTTATATTTCATGGTCTACTGAGATTGATTGCACACTTTACAAAATCTTGATCACTGCGTCATATATTTAGGAAAACTTTTTAACATAAATATTGTTTTCTGGTGGTTGTGACCACATTCTTGTCTGAAGTCTCGACCCACCCGATTGGTTATTGTTGACGATTACAGATGCAACCAAGTCCAACGACTTAATCTAACAAGCGCGGATGAACTAGAGATGATAAATTTAGGTCACCCATTTAATAACCAGCCTTTGGAAAAAATCCAAAGCCCCAGCATTCGTAAACTGCTGCACGCACTAACCCCTGTAACATCGATAACAGGGTTCATTGATCCTTGTTTAATATACTTTAGCGTTGAAATCATGTAATGTATTGTAGACGTGAACATGCTTTAGACTAAGGTTTTGATTGTGTTATATTTATAATATGTAATTTCAAAACCGCGTTTCTTAGCTTACTTCTTTGTTATAATAACAACGATGAGTGCCAAATTTCAGCTTGATCCGTCCAGTATAAGCTGTGCCTTAATACACATTTAGTTATAGATTTTTTACTGGCTACTAATAAGCACGTTGTAACTGTAACGCTTTCTTAAGAGATGGTTTGGGGTTTACAGCCCGTAAGTTGCGTTACCAGGTGATATATATTTAAACAGATTAAACTTTATGGTTCATGTATCACCAAGGGGTGGGGGAGGGGTAAAAATGTTAAAAAAATATCACGTGATTATCGGACGGTCCCTTATACGGGGATATCACTTCACAAACAAATAAACAAATTAAAATTTATATAGATATATATAATTACGTTTGCGACGGCAGCCGTCATGAGAGAAAAATCTCAATATTCAAGGACTACATGTTTACGATCTTCGGTTAAAATGTGTCGCAAGGACTTACCTACGAGAACGTACGCAGGTGACATACTGTCAGTTGCTCAAACGTCTATTAAGGTTTAATGACGCCCGCAAGCTCTAATGAATGTCAAAATGTATGAGTAATGTCGCTTTCAAATAATGTCAATTTTAATGGACGTTTGTGCAACTGCCTGATAGACTATAATTTACGCGAGCGAGCGAAGTCATGGAAAAACAGCTAGTTAACTTACCGCTATATTCTTCAGAGTTAAGTGTAGATTTATTGATATTTATTCATATTTTTATAAAAATTACTATTATTAAACATGTTTTATTAAAAAAAAAAAACTATTTTATATTTAAATTTTAAAATGTAAAAATATATCAATGAAATACAAGAAACTTCATTAAACTTTGACAATGAGTCACTGCCAACCTACATTAAAAAAAGAGGGGACGTAAAAGAAAACAACATCCAATCTGTTTATTATTTTAATACATAACTACAGAGAATCATCACTGCGAGACGGCACCACATCGGCACGTCTAACCACACATGTATTTTTTTGGTAATATTATAAAACATATATCCACCGATACATAGTGTTGTAACATCATGAAACTTGTGTAGCTTACGGAAAACAAATTGGAAAACAATAAAATCTATTTTTACACCGGAACGTACTCAGTATAAGTACGCCATTAAACAAATAATACAGAGTGCTGAGAAACTGTTAAGATTAAAAATTATTTTCTTATACGACTCTTACAGATTAAAAATGAAGATTACAGATTAAAAAAGAAGCAATGCGTCTTTATTTTCAAAATTAAAATAGAATCGTCAACACTTCAAACGAGTTTGGCGTATCACCAAAACCGATCCGTAAAGTTAATCTAAAATAAACCTTAGACAACATAAAATAAAAATGATAATCCTAAGCTCTTATTATAATTATATCATCATTGCTATGTTAACCTAAAAAGAATCGCTTAAGACACAATTAAAAAAAAAAGAACTTAATGCATTTGTTTTTTTTTTTAATTAAATTAATAGAACTACATCACACGAATTATCTTAAAGGTTCAATGGGTGAGAATTGAAATCTTTTTTCTGTCGATTAGACATCCTCAAATTATTATAAACTACGTTTTAACCAGTTTTATTTAATTAGAAACTGTATATATATATAATAGCCCGATGAAAAATTTTTGGGTATTAATAACTAAAACGAACAAAACCAAGAAATGTTAGTTTCAACAAAAAATAAAAACACCAAAACGCAAGTACTGTAGTGTAAAGTTTTATAACTATCGACAAAATAAAAAAATCGAGAAAATTTCTTAAGCACTTTTAATATTGCAAAATCAACTTTACATATTTATATATAAATCTGAAGATTAAAAGCACTCTACATTGAGAGGAAACCGTGTGCTGTGCTCCAACTGAATGGAATACAGTTGATATTTCAATATTAATGCTCGGTTATTTTCCTTTTAAGTCAAAGAAGACGTTTCAGAATAGACAAATAAAAAATGGCTAGACACTAAAAATCCAGATAAAAAGATTTCAAACCAACCTTATTTAATAATAACTAAAAACAACGTTCAAACAAATTATGACGATATTCATCAGCTTATCTTTACAAAGAACTATATTACAGACTTTATCTCTAACGCTTTGAATATCTTTCACACCTCTTACATCCTTTTATAAAAATACGATGCTGTTGCCATTATAGTTCGTTTAAAACAAAAACCGATGGCGCTGTCATTTATATTTGCCATTTAACACAATGACTACGGTCATTTGTGTCTTTTAAGATTGTAGGTAGGTACATATCGTTAATATAGATTCTTATATCTTTATTTTTTTTTTTCAAAAAACACTTTATTATTATATTTTCACTTTAAATGATCGTTATAAGTTTGTGAAATATTTAAAAAAAATGTATATTCAAGAAATGATTTAATATATCTTCAACACTCCGATTGAAAAGAGATTTTATCATTATTTTTCACAATTCATTAAAATGTTGAAAATAATGTTATTCAATAGAACACTCATTTCTTAATTTAAACATCAAATATAGAGTTGACACATAATATTATAGATTTGTTTTAATTATCAATATTAAATCGATGACCTTTGCTTGATACAGTAGGTACTTATATCAATGAATCAATAATAAACAAAGATCGCATAATTTGTTTCATTAAAAAAAATCTGAAATGCCATAATCAAATCAATCGTTGTTGTGTTTTGCCGTTATCACACTTACGAATGTCAATTTACGATAATTACTATTTTCAAACTTTGTTCTATCTCTGCGCTGCAAATGGATTTAAGATGTAATAAGTTAAAAGAACCCTAATGCCGAAATTCTAGTCAATAAGTTGTTTAGTTTTAACGTTATGCTTATTGAAATGCAGGTTACCGTCAAATGAGGCAGTTACAGTCTTCAATTATAGAAAGTTTTAGGTAGAAATGTCTACGATTCTGACGGGTTTATTATAGACATGGCATTTTATTTAGTGTCAGAATTTAAGCGATCTTCTTACGAATACGCCGCCAGACCAGCTGTAGCGTATCTGTATATAATTGATCTGATTAATATGTCGAATTCATTTTTATTAACTTTAGATGGTAATGTAATATATTTGTGTAATTTACGTATAATTTTAAATCTTAAAATAATTGATTTTAAGTTTAAAATTAACTACTATACAAAAGCCGTATACAGGGTTATTAATAAAACACCATCCAATTCGTTCAAATATCTTTGCAAAAAACGTCGCGGTCGCAATTGCTATCACTTATCAAATAGTTGTAGCGTGAAATTCGTGAATATCATTCAAATGTCAAATTCAAAGTGATTATGATAGATTTTAAATTTAGGCAATTAGCGTTTGCTGGTGTTTAGAAAGAACCCTGTATATGACTTGACGTCATGAACGTGTATGGTAGAATTTAAAGCACTAAAGCTTTGATAATAAATCGGTCACTCAAACTCCTGGTTAACCTTAACGTTCGAAAAGCTAGTACTGATTATTTCACATAACACGTTCCCCTTATTAAACTCGTTGCTCATAATTATCTCTGTAAATACTTAAAAATTAAAAAAGTCCCGCAGGATTTATCATTCGCAATCTTCATTCGAATATTTCAATGTACCCGTCACGAAAGCAAACCCAAGCTGATGAAATTTACACAAATATTGTAATATTTAAGCTTTTTTGAAGTCAAATTTCCCTTTTTTAATATTCTTAGTTGCTGCGTACAGGTTACTTTAGTGCCGGATACTGCAAATATTTCTTGACTCACACTCGATAATATAATTTCATAAGTATGCAGGTAGTGTATTGATTTTATATGTTTGTTGATTATTTATTAGTTTCCGTAACAGTCTTCATTATGCTAAGCGTATTATGTATCTATCGTATGTCATTCTGTAAAGATGGCCTCACACGGTCGACATTATAATCTGAATTTATATACGAATTTTAGATTATTAATTTCTCAGATTGGTCTTTCAATGAGACATTTACAAATCTAAAATCTAAATACCTATAAAACGCATATCTGAAGAAGTTTTATGATTTCAAACAGGTATTCCAGCTGCATGAGGCCAGTTAGTTATTAATGTTGTTCTTTTTTAAATACAAAAGCAAAAGTGGACTAGCCATTCATCCCAGCATTATGAATCACCAATTATTGTTTATTAATATACTGGCAGAAACAATCATAACAGAAGAAACATTACAATGTTTATCAAAAATTGAAATAAATTGGCAAGTCCGAAATGAAAAATATTTTTTCCGGTACATTTTAAAAGTCGCAAAGCAAATAAAAACTCCTAATGTACAAAACACTTTTTCGTATGAATTATGAATATTTTAGATAAATTATAGGGCGTCTAAGAAGAACTGATGGTTACGAATTTTTTTCAATGGATATTAGAACTGCAATTATTACTATATATACAATAAAATAGTAAAAATATTAATTGTTTAAATTGAAACAAACAAAAATGCGTATCTAATATTTTTCTATTATCTGACTATTTTTTGTTTTCACATTCACGAAAGTTTATTGGAGCACTTACTATATTCGCGATGTTTGTTTAAACACAATTTTCGGTATACAAATTCGTAAATTGGTAGTAATTTACAGAAAGATAAGCTCAGGTGTTAGTTACACACACATAGATTCACATTATCTATCTGAATAGTGATTTGTCCTCAGGTAATAAATGATGCTGGGTTATGTCAACATTATTATATAATTTTAACCATGAATTTCCGACGAATATACCGTTTATAATTTTTTTTATACAATAATTACACACATTGGCAAGTTAATTATTAAATTTTATCAATGAATACAAATTTAAATTATAATTTTATAAAAGAGGAATCGTTTGCTACTTATAATACAACTGTGTCGAAAATTGGGAAAATAACATAAGGTCGCTCATATAAAAACACCGCGTAAGTTGAATTTCATTGAAAAAAGCAACAAATACTTATTAGGTTTTTCAAAATATCTTTGTGATATTAATGAGTCTTAATAATTTAAAATGAATTAGATACATTATTATGATGTAACAGTTTAAAAGCATATTTTATACTGTTAGACGTTTATACAAGACTCATTCCGTGTATCAAAACTGTTGAAATAACGTACTATAATTAAACAATTTTCATTTATAAGTTAATCAGAAAATACGACTTTTTCTACTAATCTTAGAATCGGAGAATATCTATCAAGTATTTTACAAAAGTTCCAATCTTACGTCGAGTACACAAGGTTGAATGTCATATATTTATCAGTTATAACGTTCCACTTCCATAGATATTTCCATAAGTATTTTCCATCTAATATGCCTATTTTAAACTTACGCGGCACACACTATTAAAAACGACATTTGCCGGTAAAAACTGTCATCTTAACAAAATTAAGAAACCTGCTTGTAACTAAGTTAAAGAATGATTAGCCAATTATACTCCTAGGGCATGCCCGTCTAGTAAATTACCCGCTTAAGCTTTGTGCAGTTATACAGTGTTTTGTCTCTTTCCCTCGAAATGAAAGTCACATTACAATTACATGAACAGATTTGTGTGTAATTAAACAAAGGTAATAATTTTCTTATTAGTAAGGATCCTAATTAGTAAATGTTCAGTGTCAATTTCAATTTTAAACCTCAAATAATGTATTACTTATTTTTTCACTTACTACTCAATACATAATTTTCATTAACAGAAAAAAATAAGTCTTATTTCAATTGAAAACAGTCTAGTTTTATTTAAAAACAGAGATGTTGCAATGTCTACATCATGATTTAGATACACAAATGGAGCGGTGTGTAGCTAGGATTGTTGGTTCGTTCACTCACTGACGTTGCCTTTGGGTTGTGACTCTTCGAGTTCTGTCTCTGGAGGTTGTTCTAAGCCGGGCAGCTGGATTTGGGTGTCAGAAGCTTCGGATGGCTGCAAACGAAAATAGAATATATTCACTTTTTTTATAAAAAAATAATATGATAAAGAATGATTTGTTTGTCTGCTTTGAAACTACAAATTTGAAAAATTCTTTTAACTACAGGTGCTCCATTGTACGCGAGTAACATAGACTATAATTTATCCGGGGGAAGACGCGGGATAACAGCTAGAAACATTATAAAGAGGGAAAATGTTTTATTTATACATATAAATAGTAATCGGTAATGATCTTGATGACGCAATGGTTAGCGGGTCTGGTCTACGATGTGAAGATAAAGTAAATTTCGGAAATAAGTTATCTCGAGCTCGAGCTTTTTGTCCCGGTCTTTGGCACCCAACGTGTGTCCCAGCAATGGGTACAATAACGAATAGATAAACTCCAAAATTACTGGACCAATTCAATAATTCTATCAACAATCTAAAATAGGTAAATCTACAATATCAGCAATTAATAATAATTACTATAGCACAGTTGCCAAATAGAGAGAATTTCGTACAATAACCCGGCATTGCATATATATATTACATATACATCTAACCAATTTTGAAATAGTAAAGTGAACCTTAAATGTATACGATATCTATCAGTAAGCACAAAGATTAACGTACGAGATTCTCTCTGTTAAGAATCAGTCGGTCATTCACAGAAAAAAAAAAAAAAGCAGCTGCCAATCAATACTGTATTTTATAGTCCCTAATAAAAATGAATTACAACTAAAATGATACAAAAACCTCCAGATAACACTAGTATTTACCTGAAGATCAATACTCCCAGAGCGTCCAGAGGTAAGCTAAGTAACAACATGACATGTTTTTTTATATCATAAATTTTTTGATATTGATTTATCTTACAGAAATACAGTTCAAAATTTTAAGTTTGGATGTCGAACATATAATCTTTCGCAGTTCGGGCCATTACTCTAACCAGCTTAAGCGAGTACAAATCGTCTGAGAAATTTGACAGACTCACTATAAGTAATATTCATTTATATATATTCATTTCAAAATGATCCATGTATTTGTTATGAAAAAGCAATAAAGATTTTTTTTCAATAATTATAAATTGTATGATTTCAGATGTTGATTGTACGTTTGTTACCGTTGTTTATAGAATAAAATAGTGGAGTGGATCAGATAACAATGGAATGTAATGGGAGTAGAATTTAAATAGGATAGCATAGGACAGGATAGGATAGGACGGGATAGAATAGGATAAGATAGAATAGGATAAAATAGAATAGTAATGGAATAGGACAACCATCTACTTACTATTCTATAGTTATGTGCCGACAATAACTAATAGTTACAGTGTAAAAAAACAAGGTTTGGCGCCCAGACTAAATTTACGCTAAAATTGTAAAGTCCAAATTAAAAACATACAGAGAATAAACAAATTTATTACTTTCTAGGAATAAATAGTACTCCTGTAAAACCTCATACTAGGTTAACGTTTGCTGAGTCTGTTTAACTTTAATACTAAGTGCAGTCTCAGCGTAAATTTACTACAACGCTTAACCTTGATTATAACACTGTTGGATATTACAATTTTATATCTAGTTACGGCGTACACGTATGACACTCACCTCTACATCGTTAGTGTTCTCTCTCTCGGGCATAGGTTTGGGACGTTTCTTTGAACGCGGATTCGGGTCCACTGCCGTCGCTTGACGTTTAGGTTGGAACTGTATAGGTAACAAATAAAATAAATATTATACAACTTCAAATGCATCAAAGTAAGGGTCGTTACATATCTGCCGGAAGATACGTCGCGTCTCTTCAGTCACGGAACGTCACAATCGACAAACATACATATATCCTTAAGACGCTTGACGGATATTCAGTTAGATCTGCACCGACTCTTAGTGATATTTATTTAAATGCACTATCCTTTTATTATTAAAGATTGTTTTGCCGATTTTGACAACCCACTTGACAAAAATGAAAATAATTTGCGTAAAAATCGGTCATCAGATACAAAAATATTGTCTTCAGAAAGCATTCAGAGTCGTTAACACCCACCATCCGCACTGGGCAAAGAGGACATTAATAAGCTGATGATGAAGATCGATGGTTTACACTGATTGTAAATCTCTAAAATATGCACAAAGTTCATTAAAAGACCGGAAAAAACAAAACGTGAAAATTGACACTATTGTCATATTTGATGAATTTTGCATTGACAATGCTATATTGAAAAATATAATTTATGAAAAATGCTTAAAATATCCACTTTGTCCTTGGCATCCTGAGATGGGATGTTCCATTGGGAGGGAGAACAAATCTTCATATTTATCGAAAGTTTATATATTTGTAAAACCATTTCTTCCGGCTGTTTGGGCAAATTGTAGTAGGGAAAAAGTAACAAGTGCTTGAAAGATTCGTCAGTCCTATAGGGTCCTGGATAACTCAGTGGTTAGATCAGTCGCCCGGATTGCAAAAGGTAATGGGTTCGTGTCGCATCTAAGAGTGCCAGGGACAGTGGCATTTTTTAAGCATTTTTCATTAAGAATATTTGACACTATTGTTTTTTTTTTATATCATTAATTGAATTACCCACGGGATCGAAGCCAGACAGCCGAGTTTCAAAAAAAAAATCTATGTAACGCAAATATTACATTACAGGCTGATTATGATGGTGATTACGTAGTGCTCATTATATTCGACTGACCTGTAACTCCGGTGGTAAGAATACACGTGTATTGACGAAGTATTCTCCCTGCGGTGCAAAATACATGGTGGGTATACGCGCGTCCGACGGGAACTCGCGCATCTCGAAGCTCTGAGAGCGCGACCATATCACTGACATGGCCAGATCGCACACCGCCCATAGTTTCTGTAACAAACAAATTTAATATTATATCTTAAATGAGATATGCTTAAACATTTTCCAGTCAAAATTACTCTGAGATGAGAAATAATCTAAAAAAAATGTTTAGAGAAAAAGCCATGGTTTAATAAAATGCTGTGCCTATAAATAAAACAAATTACAAATCGACGCTAGAAAGCAAACACGTAGTAACCCGTAAAACCAAAATTGTTTTTTCTGAACAGTAAAACTTTTATTTTGTTTCGATAAATAATTCCTATTAACGTCCATGGTAACAAATAAAGTGTTTCTTAGTCAATTTATATGGAAATAAGTTTTTTTTTTTCTAATAATGTAAAGATTTTCCACTTTAAATATCCATTTTGGTTTTGCAGGTTACTATTTGCTTTCCAGCGTCGATATAAAATTGATTATTACTATAGCATTCAATAATTTTATGAGACTACACAGACTACTTGGGATGCTTCCAGGAACCACCAATACTACACGGACTACTATATTATATTTTGTTACAAAATTTAACTCAATAACGTGACAGTTTTGACGTCACAGCTGTCAAAATACGAACTGATAAGACACAAACAAATATTTGACTGATGATGACAATGATAACTTACATAGTTGACGGCGTCGTCTGTTTCGTTTAGTGCATCCTTGTGATTCTTCATACGTTCCACGAGACTCTTGTAGAAACCGTAGCAATAGAAATCGTTGCGTGTCACGAGCGGCTCAAGTGTGAACCATAGACAATTCTTCACTACCTGTATAACAAATAAATATGAAATTAATAAGAGACCAAGTCAAATAGCTCAGATTCCAAGATAAGTATCTAAAGACCCCGTATTATGGCGACATCGAAGGAGACAAATTCAATTCGTAAATTGACCTGATCGAGAATTAAACCCAGAGACTTTAAAGGTAGAGGTCACCTACCTAAACCAGCGTGTGAGTCACTCGGCTACCGAGGTGAGTTATATCAAGCATAAAAATTGAAAATGATTCCGAATTAACATAAAATTTAAATTTCGCAATCTCATGAAAGTATTCTTCACACAAGCTTTAAACTTATTAAGACAGTTTAGTAATATCTATGGCAATTTATTACCATAGGAATAATAACTTTGTTTTTATTCCTAGTCTTAGATGGATGGATATTTGTTAGAAAAATTTGTTTCTGAAATGAAATGAAATTATCTTTATTCAAGTAGGCTTATTACAAGCACTTTTGAATCGTCCAAAATTTTTCTTTTACCCTACCACTTGTTCAGGACGTCTTTTAGCTGACAAGAAGAACAAGCGAAAGAAACTTACCAGCTCTTTATCATAAGTAATTACATTTACAAAATCATGTCATTACCAAAATAATATGTATTATCACAATAATAAATAAAACTTTCAAAGTCTTTAGGTCATAGTTTTGAACATATAATTAGTCGTTATAGAACAAAGTGAAGGCTATCAATTCCATGCATTGCGGTCCTTAAAATAATCTTCAACTTTAAAATAGCCTTTACTCATAAGTATACTTTACATGAATTTTAAATTTATTTATGGGTTACAATTAAATTTTTTTGGAACTTTATTGAACATAGCAATTCATTTACCTAGAAATAACAATGCATTTCTACACTTAGGTATTGATTACCTTCAGTTGGGCGACATTATCATATGCAGTGAAGGCCGGATCATGAGCTAGTACCGGTACAGCGAACACAAGCATGTAGTCAGGTAAGATGTGTGGCAACTGGCTGAGCGCACGTTCGACTAGAAATAAATAAACATATATTATTTAACCTGTTTTGAAGAAATTATAATAAATTTGGCTTTTTAAGTATTATTTCATTCTAGTGTAATGATTTTTCTTTAGCAAATTTAATTAAGAAATATTAGTATCATTGTTGGAAGTTTCGAGCCAAGCTTTTCATTAAACAAAAGAAAAATAGATAACGGAAGAAATTGCCATCTAAGGCCTGATTTTCAGTTTATAATTTTCCATGATACACCGTACCACCGCTTATTTAGTCCTAGGTATCCGCATGCAAACTTTTTGTCTTTGATATTCAACCTCATTTCTTTTTATTATTCACCTTTCGTAATTTAAAAATTTTGACTAAACAAATACTAATCTGTTGTAAACATGTTATTGTAGATCGTATAAATTTGAATATTATAATAATGAAGTTATTATGATTAAAATAGAAATTGTATATTATATAAATTAAAATTATATCTTGAATATGGTCCAAGGTTACATATTACAAGAAACCCAAAATGAGGTATGTATTTGTTAGGTAACTTACGAACTGTTTTTATATTAATTTTTTGTTTTTTACGGTATTTTCTTTACCCTTTACTTATTTACCATAAAATAAATCAATTTCCAATCTTAGTCAGCCTTTCATTAATTCGCCCAATCATCGAACCCGTCACGGTACTATATAAAAAAAAAAAACCTTCGAATCCTACAAAAAGTCGATTTTATAGGAGACAAAAAAAAATTCTACAAGTTTTTTTTTTATTTTTATATCTGATCATTTAATCATGGGAAGAATAGGCATGGGAAATAGGGTGTTTACATATATTTCAAGAAATGTTTATTATTTTCAAAATTACTGTAGGTAGCTGGTATTAGTTAAAATATTGGCGTATGTTTATTCAGCTAACTGTAATATATGTTGGCAAAGGAAATAATATAGATTAAAGACTATAATCAAACAAAAAAACTCATTACGTGTTCCGTTATGATATTGGTTGGTTGATATTTTCTCAAAACTCCGTTTTTATTGCGAATTTGAGGTAATCGATGCGTAAATTAACCATGAAAAGAACTGCATTAATAAGTCAAAATCGGAAAAAATGTAGAACTAGGTTGTTAAGCGTCGATATGGGGCCATCCATAAACTACATCACACGTTAGGAGAGGAGGAGGGTCAACGAACTGTAACATTAGAATAATATTTAGTAGGATTTGTATAGACAAACAGGTGACAAGAGGGGGGGGGGAGTTTTAAAAAAATCACGAATTTTGTGTGACGTAATTAATGGACGGCCCCAATGTTGTGTACGGTAAGTAGTCACTCACACGTTATGAGTGGAGGGGGGGGAGGTCAACGAACTGTGACATCAGAACAATATTTAGTAGAATTTGTATAGACAAACAGGTGACAGGAGGGGGGGTTTAAAAAATGATGAATTTAGTGTGGGCCCCTATGTGGTGTATACCTTTAGTGCCGACCGTGATGGTCCGTATGTACTCGCGCCTCCTGACCACGTCGGCGAGCATGTACTGGCGCACGAGCGCGCGGATGCGCCGGTCCGGCTCGCGGCCCGCCAACGCGTACATGCCCATGAAGTCCAGGGGCAAACACTTGTTGGGTATACCCTGCCGCCAAGTAATATAATCTTTACCACGTGTATACTTCAATAAGGAAGCATTTAAAAAAATAAACATTAGTTCCCGAAATCTGACTAGATGTCGCCACGGTACGTTCTTTGATTTCTCCACGACAACCTTTGCGGTTTTCTGTCATGTATAAAAGTTAATTAGTTTTCAAAACTCAATAAAAAACTCATTCTATTTGTACTTTTTCGTATTTCGTATTATATGTTAGTTAATAGGAACGGAAATGATTGTCTTTGGTCCATTCGTTTCCTGCAAAAAACAACTTTTGCTAGAGTCGCCATCTAGTGGATGTGCTTTGATTTTTTTTTAATACTTTCTCATTAGTAATTCACACTTTTTTTTCTGGTAGTGTTCAATATACTATTACCGATAATCACACTTTTATGCTTATTATATTTATATTTTGCTTGAATTATGAAGAAATAATAATTTTGATAATCGTCACGTGACCGCAAACAGCGCGTGGCGTCGGGTCGGCCGATATTAGTTTCAGAGGGCTGTGACGTCAAAGCGACTCCATGACAAAGGTATATGTGGAAAATTTTGAAAAAATATTTAAAACTTAACCTATTATATGAATGATATTTTTTTGTCTACACCCCTATTAATCATAACACCTGAAATGTTAAGAATCCAATGAAACACATTATTCGATAATTTATAATGCAACGAAGTTAGGCAAAAACATTCGTAATTTTTCCGAATTTGCATTCGAAGACAAATAGGATAGACCCTCAAAAGTGTTATTTGAATTCATACGAGTTACAAATAATAACTGTGGAACACTGTTATCACAGGCACAATGCCAAGTTTCAGCTCCGGTTAGAAAAAAAAAATGTAGATTTAAGCCTGAATGTACTATCAATTCACACAATCATAGACGCTGACAAAAAGCCAGCCCAACATACTTAGGTATTTCACTAACAGAACGATTACAAAGTAAGAATTACCTTTGATAATCCTTTATGTAGTTTCGCTGCAAACGCTTCTCTCACTTGTGGTACATCATCCTGTAATATCAAATTAGTTATAACATTGTATTGATTAACAGCCAGTTGCACAAACGTCCAACTTTACAAATTTTATTTAACTAAGTGTCTATTTAGCTAAATATTTAACTAAATATTTCTGCTAATAAGGTATTCTACTCTGTTTGAAATAGTACTTGTAAGTACTTATTGTAATTTATATAAGCCATAAAACAAATTTTCGGAAAGAAGTACGCATTTTCTTGCCTTAAAATCAAATCAATATTTAAACTTATATTCATGATGTCATTCGGAAATGTATACAAAATAGATGCACAGAGTAGTAGATTAAAAGATCGATCGTTCGATTACGAAATAAAAACATATAAATAAGTTAAAAACTTGGAGGAGCTCGTTGGTGCAGTGGCTAGCGCGCTCGATTTGCGATACGGTTGTTAAGCAACTTTCGCAATGGCCGATCATAGGATGGGTGACCCCAAAATTTGGAGCTTCTACAGGCACGTTAAACCGTTGGTCGCGACTGCATTCGTTAATACCCGCACTGGGCCCATGTGGTAGGTCATGGCCCATCTTCCCTATTCGATTCGATTCCATCCATAGGGAAGGCTTGAGCCCCACCAGAAGGGATATTAATAGGCTGGTGATGAAGTTAAGAACAGGGCCATCTGGTGACTTGAAACACGATCTGCCGTAGTGACGTCACACAATTGCGGGTCGCGTTTTAAGTCACGTGACATAGTTTTTGTGCAATTTCGTATCTTATTTTTCACTACTGAAATTACCCAATTAATATTTTGTGCCGCAAAATTACTGATTGTTCTTCATAACATCTTGTGACAAAACAAAATCAGGATTGAATTTTGTACTAAAAATTATTTATGTATCATTCATTGTTGTTTACTCAATACTTACATATAAATAAGGTACAATATATAACAAATAGTATAAAAGCTGTTATCCCTAATAAATGTAAAAAAAAAAATAATAATAATAATGAACTCACAATCATGAGATGTGACAGATTGTAGAACTGGTCGGCCGTGAACTGATCCCCGACGCCCTTCTGCTCGCATATCTTTAGCATCGCCGCGCCCGCAGCTAGGCGTAAGTGTGCCATCTCCGCTTTTGATACTTGATTTTGCTAGAAGATACCAAAATCCAAGATTAAGAAACCAGCCAAGTGGGAGTCGGACTCAGACAAAAATTTCTGTTCCTCAAATGAGCAAAAAAATCATTTTTGCTGTATGTCAACCCCTTGAATTATTAAAACAAATTCATTTATTTTAAAAGTAACTTTATAAATACATATTCTGTAAATATTTCAAGTGTTGTCGTTATCAATATCGAGCAAAAACAAACAAAACAAATTACGTTTGTTATATAGGAACCCCTTTAAATATATATTTTATTCTGGTTTTACGTATTTGTTGTTGAAGCGGGTCACAGAAATATATATTCTGTGAAAATTACAACTAACTGTCACTGTTAATGAAATACAACCTGGTGATAGACAGACAGTGGGCTTGTAATAGGAGACCCATTATGCCCTTTGGTTACGGATCCCTTAAAATGGCGTTTATTCAAAACTTGATATTGTTCAGAGAAGGAGCTTTCAAAATAATTGCTATATCAACTAGGTAAGACTATTAAATTTTCCAGTGTTTCTCATAGGTACATTGCAAAAAAGAACAAAAGTCGGCACAGGTTACTGTATAACTAAACAACGTTCTATGTAGAAGAATTTTAATCTTCTTGACATGAGTTTGAGAAAACAAGTGTATTGCTACAAACACTGTTTTCATATGCAGTAGAATATGAACATATGGCTGATTAAAAAAAAAATTGTAAAATAAATAAAAGTGCAGCCACATAGCAAATATCATAGATTTTCAGATTTATACCTTTGAAACTGGATCTCTCCTGAAGTGAGTGAGTAACATTATACTCTATCAGTGCTATTAATAAACAAAGTTCAGCTTCAGAATAAATTTAAGCTAAAATTGCAATTTTAGTATTAGTCCAAATTCATATTGCACAGAGAATAAGCAAACCTACTACCTTCTAGGAGTAAAATATTTACTCCCGTAAAACCTCGTACTAATATGACTTTTGACTAATTTACTCCAATGTTAAAACACTGTACAGAATATACTATATGTAAGTATATATTATATGCGGTACCTGTAACAGATCTCCCTTGTGCACTATGAAAGCGTTCAGCATCCGGAATGTTTTCTGAGCGGATAGTTCATCTCGTTTGAGCCCAAGTAGCCATCGTGCCATACATTTGAGCCCCTCCAACTTGCAACGGGTCTCTTCAGGCAATTCTTCTTCGGAACACCATTCACCATCAGGAGCGTTAGGACCTCCGCCACCCTCGCGAACCAGAAGCTCTTTCACGATCTAATACAAAGAATACGTAATCATTGTCAATATTAATCTCTAGCATTTTTTGTCCGGGCAATCTTTGTTATTTGAACGTTTATATTTATAGCTGTTACAACGAAAGTTGCTACGATTTATGTAACTAATTTCATGCCATATATATTTCAGCAAATGTTTTAAACCATATTTCCCTAGTTTTTTTTCAAGTTTTCAAAGCGTAATATTTTCCAAATTAGTGTTATACATATTTTTTTTTAATATTTATAAGTTAAAATGTTCCACGTTTTCCGAAACACAGCCTTATTGTACTGAAAAAATAATATCGCTATCGGTATCGGATTCATCCTCATTTTACACCTGAATCTAACTCACCTTCCGCGACACTATATTCTTGATGTGAACAGGAAAGTTGTCTGGTAGATTGTGTGCGATGTGACCGAGGGTCACTATCGCGGTGCGGTAATGTTCAGATGAGGGACTGAGCGTCGCCTTCAGAGTCTCCAGGATCTCAGTGAAGATTTGCGTGCGTTGATCCGGGACGTTTACGAATAGACATCTACGCAATAATAAAAGTAATATTTTGCAACTCCAAAACATCTGGCTAAGTCCGAGTCAGAACCCGAAAAGGTTTCCATCGCAATATCTATAAAAAAACGATGAAGGCTTCCGTACCGAAAACGCTGTTAAAAATAATGTTTGTTGTAAGGGAGCCTGTTTAAATATTTATTTTATTCTGTTATTTTTTTTTTTTTGTATTTGTAAAAGAAGCGGCTACAGAAATACATCAGCTGTGAAAATTGCAACTGTCTAACTTTCACGGCGACAGACAGCGAAGTCTTAGTAATAGGGTTCCTGTTATATACCCTTTGAGTATGGAACCCTAAAAATATGCAAAAAAATAATCAAGTTGTTGTGATAGTTGTGATAGCAGCAACAGAAATACATCATGAATGGAAATTTCAACTGTTCAAGTTTATGGGTTCTTGAGATAAAGCCTAGTGACAGGTGGACGGACAGCAGATTCTTAGTAATAGGATATTGTCGTTACTCTTTGCATATCGGAGCCTAAAAAACTACATAACTAATACTTTCAATTCATAAACAAACAAACAATAAGTTAGTTTAAATAGGTTTTCTTTGGATACTCACATTAGGGAATAAGAATAGCGCAGTATTGAGATCATAAAGCTTTAATTAACACAAACAACAGTAAAAAACGCAAAGAAAATGTACACATTTATTAATTGCTTTCATACAGTGGGGTTTGGAGTGGGAACGCTTGTGCCTTTGTCACTCCAATACGATGCTTACGGATAGCTATTTTATGATATTAGATAATAATCGAAATATGTATTTTGTTTCCTCTTGCAACTTTTACTTGCTTCTTTGATTTCATCAAACTATATCGTCTCAATCAGAAAAAAAATCGCTATCAACGTCATAAACATGATGTAGTTAGAAAGGGAAATGAAAAGCTATGGATTAAACAATAATTTTAAGTTGTATATGTAGATTTAAAAAGATTTTTATAATGCCAAAATTATCAACCTATGTCCTACAGACTTTGAAAGTTGTATTTATTATTGTGATAATACATATTATTTTGGTAATGACATGATTTATGTAAATGTCATTTCATAACTTATGATAAAAAGCTGGTAAGTTTCTTTCGCTTGTTCTTCTTGTCAGCTAAAAGAGGTCCTGAACAGGTGGTAGGGGAAAAAAGATTTTTGGACGATTCAAAAGTGCTTGTAATAGCCTACTTGAATAAAGATATTTTCATTTCATTTCATTTCATCAAGATTTTTAACTGAAAATGTTGACAATACCTGACAGCATTTTTGGCCTGTTTCGGTGTACCAACTTCAGCATACGCCTTACATAGTGTGATCAGTCTTGGGAATAGCGTCGGGCACACTTCACCTGAAAATTATATTATTTTAAAAATACATTATTATCGAAACAGAACAAATATAATAGTAAATACTCCTGTCGCCCAATCAATAGCAGTAAAGGTGCGTACAGTTAGTTCGAACTAAAAGGAAAAATTATATTGAGCCTTGTAGCAATAAACATAACATTTAAAGGTGTCCGTCTGCCTCGCACCTCAAAATCAGGCGCAAAAGATATTGGTGGATCACCCGATGGCGTGATTCTTGAATCATTATGATTGGACGATATTTGTCACGCTTCGAAATTTATATTTCAGCTCGGACACATGAGAGCAACACCAGTTGTACTATACTAGCCAAATAGTATAGGATCAGGTCATCAATACCGACAGCAAAGAAAATAAAGTAATCTAAATATTTTTTGGTTTTAATATATATTAATGGATTATTTAGCTTTGATTCGACTTTATGAAGAATAAATAAAATATACTTTCGAAATCGGTCTCTTGATCTTTCCTTTATTACTAATTATGAAGTTGATCATTATTCGCAATGGTCAAACTAGTCACCCTAAACGCCTTGCCATGATAATAATTTTCGTTCTTTTTTATGCACACCTTACACCATTTAGTTGAAGCACAATGCAAACCGAGATGAGCCATTTGTCATTCCAATTCTTATAGTATGTTACTGTTACATATTTCCCGTACGATATAGAAAAAGGCATACTCACTGAGCGGTCGATATTTTCCTAGGAAGGTGAGCGCGGCGAGTATATGGGGCGCGATGGCTTCGTCGTCCATCTCCAGCAATGACGTCAGACGGCTCAACACGTCCTCGTGCAGGAAGTGGGCGGGGAACACGAACGAAAGCATCACCAGCAACTTGAGACCGCGCTCCGCACATTTGTCCATATCGATACCTGAACCAGAAGGTTTCATTTTTTGAATCCAGTTTCATTTATCTTGTCTAAACAATATTGCCCACACCCTCGTCGCTATCTATAGGGATGATGACTAATGGCTTTTTTTGTGTCCTTTAGGTATATTATTGAAGAATAATAAAGACTTTTATTTTTTGCGTAATCGGCGATAAATATGAGTTGAAAGTCGCAAAATGTCATACCTTTGTATATTATCTATATAGTTGGGACGTAACGAGTCCCCACTCCTCAATTTTAATGCTTATTATCTAAACAAAATCTTGTTAAATTGAAACGAAATATAAAATAAATATCTAAATATTCTTCACTGACTGACGGACTAGATACAATTTAGTGTTTTTACTCAGTCATTTATTTAATAAGTCTAAACTTATTTTAACACTTAAATTATACAGAGATTTCTGCTTAGTATTATACTTAATTTGACTGAAAAACAAAATTGCACGGCAGCGGTTAGCCAAGAAAAATTGGGTAACTTTCGCCATAGGATGGCTGACCTATTATTATTTCCAGCTTCACAAGGCATGTTAAGCCGTTCTACCCGGCTGCAGTCGTTATCACCAACCTATCCGAACTGGGCCCGCGTAGATTATGGCGCGTTTTTTCAATTCGATTACATCCATAGAGGTCTGTCTCGTCGAAATGGGGACATTAACAGGATGAATAATCATCCAAATTTAATGATAATAAATAACTTGTCAGTTACTCACCACACTCTTCAGCAATAGCGGTGTCCGCACCCTTAACTGCCGACTCCACATACCCGACCAGTATGAGTAGTGATTCGTGATCAATCATAACTGAACTCACTCGCTCCAGTAGCATCTTAACTGTATTGTAATATAAATTCGTCATAACAGGCTGGCCCAATCTCTTCAGTACGCTGGACTGGAAAAGGTTTATTCATTGTAGATACAAATTACAACTGGTACGAATGAGGCAACATTAAAAAAAAGAATAATTCCCGAAATCAAACTAGATGTACTTTCTTCCGATTTTCTTTCATGTATAAAAGTAAATTAGTTTTCAAAACTCAATAAAGAACTTATATTCTATTTATAATTTTTCGTATTCAGTTTTTTAATATGTAAGTTAAAATGAACTGAAATAACTATCTTTGGTCCATTCGTTACTTGCAAAAATCAACTTTTGCTAGTGTCGTCATCTAGTGGAGGTGCTTTTTTAGTTTTTTTTTATACATATTAATATGACACCTGATATTCTATTTGTCCTTGAACGAAAATTAGGAAAATTTGGAATCTAATTATTTATTAAGGGGAAATAACAATCATTCCAACACAAAAATCAAAAAACATTATTACAGTTTTAATAAATCCAGCCAAAAAGTTACCCACAAAATAACAATAAGCCTAAGACAACAAAACTTACAAAACTCAACCAATTATGTTATCATAAGCATGAATTTATAAATCTTTATAAATGTTTAAGTATACATATATGCACAGATACAGATACAATTTGAATCGATATTGAATTCTATTATTATAATATTATTTTTCATCAAACCAAGAAGTAGAAATTACTTTGGAGTTGACTTTTCCAAGAAATTAGAATCACTCTAATAATTTTATCAAAATCATATCTGTGAATATTATCTATGCAGTAGAGGCTGTGTCAGGTCCTACCTCCGTTGCGTCATAAATTATCTAAAAATTAGATTCTTTGGAGTTGTATTAACATTACGAAAATAGGCGATTATTTTCGGACTATAAGAATAAACCTTCAGGTGTCATATTAATTCATTCGTAGTTTAATAGACAAACGTTAATATTGCAGTGATAACAATATGGCAGGAGTCAGCAACCTTGGAACCGAAAGCAATTAGTAAAATGACAGTTTTTAAAGAGCAACTGAAAGATGTCTTTTTTAATATTATTTATGTTATATTTGAGATTTTTATTTAAATAAACATCTTTGAATATGTAACTCTCAGTAATAGTCAGCATAATATGCCAATCATATTTATTTATAATAGTAATTGACCGCTTTACTGTTTTGAGAAATGTATTTTAAACTCATATGAACATATTAAATCACTGTCAGATTTATTTTCTCCAAAATATGTTGTTAAATTAACGGAAAATATATTCTGTCGTTTGATTCAGACACACACACACACACACACACACACACACACACACACACACACACACACACACACACACACACACTTTTGATTTTTTAATATAGATTTATATTATATATTCATTATATTATGTATATCAATCATTTCATGAATTTGTAACGGAGCAAACAGTGTGAGAGTTATTTATTCTCAATGCGTATCTTGTATTCATGTATTCTATCAGAAATCGCGGGCCAACGGTAATTTGATAATTCAGCAGTCAAACAAACAAATTGATATTTATACATTTTGAGATACGATCGGCATAACAGTATTAATTTTTGAAAATACTTGGAAAATAAACGTCACAAGTATCATTAAAGTATTCTTAGAAATCTTAACATTAATTTGTTATATGTGACTTAACAGTTACTTTTTTAAAAAAAACAATGGATTATAATGGATTATATGGCTTTTTAACTATTAAGTAATAAACTATTCGAGAGTGTTTTTATATACAAAAAAGTTATAATTTTTTTTTATTCAATTTTAGGAAGGGGAAACATTCGATTGCTAGTTTGTTAGGATTAAATGGGTTCCAAAACTACTGGAATGATTTTGAAATTATTAAATATAAATAATTATATTTTATATTGATTTATTATATTTTCACGTATAGTGCACGTTTTACTTTTAAACAGTTTCATGGCATTTATATTTAGTTTTATGACGTTTCGGACCCTTTACACGTTTCGTGTTCACATAAGACTAAGGTTGAGTGTCTTTTTTAATTGAGAGTGGGTATAGCTACCTTCACAACAATACTATTGGACACTTTTACAATACAAATAATTTATATTTTATGGCAACGTTTACATTTATTAAATTAAATTATTTTAAAAATACATTTGACTTATTTATTTACCCCTGGCTACTGTAATGGTAGATAGACTAGTTCCAAATTTGGGAATCTTTTCTAAGAAGAACTGGCGAACCAAACTCCGACAAGAAAAGTGAATTGATCCCTTTGATTTAATATTTACAAAATGAACTAAGTGTATCTTTTGATTTTGCAATTTGTTATCTGGATTGAGATTTTATTCGATTACTGGATCCCAAGCCTGTGGTGCCAACCTACTATTAAAATCTCTATTAAAATTCGTTTTTTTTTTAAATTTCAATAGCTCCGCGTATCATTCTAGTGATAATTTTTGTTTAGTCGCAAGTATTAATTAATTTCCTGACGCATGTTCACACACTGCTGATTTATTTTTGCGCCTAAACTTAACGTCAGCTACATGTTCTCTACCACGAGGCCATACGCTCCTCTTTTAAAAAAATATTTTATCTACCTGAATCTATATCATACGCAGTTGACATAGGCTATTATTTACGCTAGCAAAGTCAAGGGAAAATTATATTTAATTCACAAAAAAAAAAATGTCTACTAAATTGAAAATTATTACTCTGTTGCATTAGAATACAAAAGACAACTTTAAAAACTTGTAAAATAGGCTATTAGGTAACCTAATGGTTACATAATAGTTGATTCTATACTTTAAAATTCATGATATTCTAACATTGACGATAGAGCATGGTAATGACGCTAGCAAAATATGTTATTCTTGAATAAATAAATATAGAACTTCCTATTCCTTGTTTTTAAACTAATATCAGAAATTGCTATTATGATACGTATTAATTACATAGTTAATACTCACTGTTGTGCGCACACAGACTTCACAGCTTACATTCGGATTGAGTATAGTTTCCATTCCCTGTAACAACTCAGGCGCCTGTTTCATATGTTGCGAGAACTTGTTCAGAAACTCCTGAGCCTTCACCGATTCGGGCAGGAATTTCGAACTTATGTGTAACACTTTAGCGATCATTTCCTTTTGGACAGCGGGCGTGGGCGGTTTCCTATGTAACTCCACCCATTCAGCTACAGTGCGACGTACCGCCAACTGATGTTTCTGTAGTTCTATGAACGCTTTGGTCGCGTTATCATCAATGTTAGACATGAGGTAATATAACTTCTTCATGCGAACCGGCGCTGGAAGAGTATATGGTACAAGAGATGTATTTAATAATCTCTCGACAAGTAATCTGTCTTCTAACGCGGTCATGTAATAACCATGAAGGATTTTGTCTTTGATCCATTGCACTGCTTTCTCAGTGGCCGGTGGTACAGATTCTTCTGTTAAAAACTTTTTGTATATCATAGCGAGACCAGACATAGCCTCTTTTCTTATTTTAAACTTTTTATCGAGAGTTCTTTCTCTTACGAAATGTAGTAGATCTTCCGATTCAGCTACAGCTTGGAAATCTCTTTGAGCCGTTGCAATGATAGCCATGACTACTTCGTAGCGCACTTGCTCATGCGCATCGTGCTGCCTCATCTTTAAAGTCTCCGTTATATCTTTCCTCAAATCCGGGTGGTGAACAAGGAAATGCATGCAGTATTGAACGCATTTAATTCTGATCGGAACTGATATATCGTTGAATCGACCTAAAAACGCACGCCATAAAGCCGGATATTGCTTGGCTAATTCCGATCCGGGTTCAGAGAACATCCTAGCTAAGAGTGCCACTCCGCTAAGCCTCTCTTGGAACTGCGCGGACTTCAATTTGCATTCTAGTTGTGGCAACACTGACAGTAACAGCGACGGGCAACATTGGTACAATTCGTATATAAGCTCAAACACTTTCGAGAATATCAAGAGGTTCTTTTCTTCTTTGCCAAGTATTAGGACGTGATTGAAAAACTGAAACAAAAAGTAAGTTTTAATTTTTTTTAAGAATAATAAATGGGATTCATACAGTCAAGACTATTTATAAATACTTAAATTATGAGGTAAGGTTAGAATGAGAATGTTTTTTGTCTTGTTCTCAGAGTTTATTCCAATGTGACGTCACAAGTTACAGTATAGGTCTAAAATGTAAAAAAAATGCCAATAATTAGTTTGTTCTTGAAACATAGGTTTCTTTGAAATCACACCATGTTTGAACGTGATAAAAATGATAACTTCCACCCATAACTGTAGATCGAACGCACTAACCACTGCATTATAAAGAAGTTGTGCAGTCAACAGCATGTCAGGTCAGACACAACTACCTTGCTCCCACTTAATTTTGAACTTTAACACTGTGAGGGCAAAATTGAAAATCAAATGCTGAAATCCCGGCGTGTGTACAATAAACAGTGCTTACTTAAAAGATTTCGGTTCTATAACATTACTAAGATTTATATGAATCAATTTTATATTTGTACTTAAGTATGTTACAGCAACAAGTAGATGTTAACCCTTACATAAAGATCCATACATTTGAATGTGTTCGTGTATCAAATTCGTTCGGTGCTGTTTCTTTTCAAAACACACCGGAAATCAACGACCGAAATACATTAACCCCGATGCAAATCATGTCAATATTATTCAAGTGTTTTACAACGAGCAGTTTCAGTAGTCCTGTTAATACTATACGAATTCTATATCATTCAATCGGAATCAATTACTCTAATTGGGTCATGTATTTTAAGTGCGTCGGATCGAGATTTTTTGTTATTAAACTATAATCCGGTCCTGTTTTTAAAAATAATAATATTGTATTTTCCAACTAAGTCTTAGTTGTTGAAAGTTGGGATTGGTAACCCTACTGTAACATAACATTTCAGATTCAAATCGATTCCGACAGGCCACTTATTTTAGAAAAAAAAATACAGATCGTAAGACTAAGTCACAAAACACTACCTAGACATAATATTTCATTTAAATTATTTATTTTAAACAAAACAATATTTAAACACTTAAACAACATGTAAATTCGCAGAAAAATTTACATAACAGTAATTGCATAATCATACACAATGGTTACTTAATATTGAATATTTTATGCTGTACACATAATGTTATTGATTACACTTTCACTGACGTTTGCAAATCCTTAGGGCAACTGAGGTCACATTGTCGCGACCTAACAAGTCGTGAATGTACCTCGATATTCTATAGGTATGCAAGAAAACTTTGCGTCAGTATCATAAGTATACAACTGATGTTACTATTAATTATCCATAAGATTGTTTAACAACACAGTATTACATATCGCCCACCTAGATCTAAACTGAGACAACTCAAAAATTTGAGCGAGTTTTGACTTAGTACAATATTCAAATACTTGGTGATCATACGCATCTATCCAACATAACAGATTCAATAAAGGTTCGGGGATGAGCCGCTAGATAACTTAAGCTTTCTTTTGTTGAATCAACTGTAGTCGCGCTCCTGCCACGTAAACAAATGTATTGTCAAACCTCCAAATTAGCTTTTTGAGTTGTCTTAGTTTAGATCTAGGTGTGCGATATGTATATATACAGGGTTAGCTTTGAAGTTCAAAATCAGTTTGAGAAATACCATAGTCTTGACCGGAGCTTACGAACGGGTCGAAAATTATCGGGCAAATTTCCAAAACCTTTAAAGGCACAAATTTAATAATTACATTCAAACAAAACGATCTAGATAATTGGCGAATGTCATACAAAAGATTTAAACTTTCTGTATAAGGTTCAAGTTTCGATTGTTATAACTTTGAACTACCAGTGCTACCACACTAAACAAAAATTGCCATTTAAAAATAACACTTACCCCTTGTATATAAGGTTCAAGAGTCTCGTTTGTCTTAACAATGAGCTCCTTGGCTAGCGCATACGCGTGCTTGTGATCTCGCTTGTTCGGCTCCACCAAGTTCATGAGGATCACGTTAAGAAGCTCGTTGGAGACCACGTCAGATTCCGTGATCAATGGGCAGAGGACGTCAAGCATGAAGGACTTGACTTTAGTTGAATGTTCCGTGCTGAGAGAAAAAAATATACATATTTAAGAGTACAAAAGAGAAACCAATAATATAGTAATAATGATGATGAAATGATCAGCAACAGAATTAGCATTTACAAAAAAAAATGTACGCATTAGAAAATATCCTTTGTGTTACAGCATCTGACTTTTCAAGGTCTATGGTCAAGGTCAAGGTCAAGGTCTAAGTAATAAATCTAAACTTATTACTTAGACATTATTTTCAAGGATCTATGACATAACTGTGAATATTAACATATTGATTCTGTCAAAATATCACATGATCTGATGCTATCTTCGGAAAACATTCCTTGTTAACAAAATAGAATCTTAGTGCTTTTTTTAATCATATTTTTTTGTATGTCACAAATATTTGAAGAAGAGCTGCTACAGCATCAAGCTGACATTGAACGAGAATTGTTAGTGGATGTTCAGATTATGGGCTCTATATTCAATAAAATTTAGATTTCTAATAAAAATGGTATTTATTTACAGACCACAGCAGTCAGCTCCGAAAAGACAGCAGAAGAATAGTAATTTATTTTATTGAATAGTGAGATCTTTCATTTTTATTGCCACTGAAAAAATGCTACTTATGCCTCCAAACAATGCTCTCCAACCGCAAAGAGCTGTTCCGTGCAGCGATGTATAGTATAGCTACCCGATTAAACCAACTGCAGTATACCTCACGTTGATGGATCTGATATCCAGTTCTAACCCAATCCGCATTAGGAACTGGGGTATCAACCCAGACCCATTTCGCCTGATTAGTAGTGGAACCTGCAGAGGCAGATTTACAGGCTTGGCCGCCTTGGAGCATGTAAAACTAGCCGTAAACTTTAGCTGGCATAAAATATACTGATAATAAAAGTGCGTAACTTTTCTCGTAAGTATATTTAATGCAGCCATAGGCAAAGGCCTACTGTGAATTTAGGATAAATCCGCACCACGGGAAGGTAATACGAAAATTTTAGGGATAATAAATTTCGTATAAATAAGGTAGATTGCTCTTACATTTAGTACCAGAAATATTATAACTTAAAACTAAATACGACAATAAAGATATAAGAAAAATCTTACTCACTTTACAATCCTGAACATGAGAGAGAAGAGTGCACAGAATATCTCCTGGCAGTCCTCCAACTCGAAGCACATGTTGAAAGATTTCACGTAAGCCAAGTTCTCTAACAAGTAGAAATAGCGCTTGAACGCCGGATCCTTCGGATCCCGGAGCCCTTGCAGCTGTCTTATCAGGAACAGGAATATAGTCTTCACCTAATCAACAAAAATAATGTAATCAATACAGGACAATAGGGATGTAGACAACTATCTTAATATTTTTTTTTTACAGATATACACGAAAAATATGTCATTCATATAATAAGTTAAAATCTAAAAATAATATTAATTTTAAAAATTTCCCGCGACAACGCCACTTCTTATATGGCATCGCTATGGCGTCTCAGCACTCTAAAAACGAATATCGGTCTATGTATGCATAATGTTGAATTGTCAAAGATCTGATATAAGAAGGGCGTGATGTCAAGCGCTGTTTGCGGTCACGTGACAACGAGCTTAAAATATTTGTTATTTCAAAATTCGCATAAGCAACGTTATAAATATAATAAGCATAAAAATATGATTATCGGTAATAGCATATTAAACAGTACTAGAAAAAATAGGTATATATTTTCATTTACTGTCTACACCCGTATTCTGAATATAAAGACACTAATGTTTTCAAATTACAAAAATATATTTCCAAAGCACCAACAATAAAAATAGTCTATTCCTGTAAACATAATCTTTCAACATTTCCATGATGACAATTTACATAAAATTAAAATATCATCAATGGTCTTTTAATGAGTATATGATTCCAAAATATTAAGTAACTTTTGCAAGACCACTCTTCGAATGAGTAAACTATTTATTAATTCGACCTCCTTCATAGGGCATGTTAAATCGTTGTTGCCGATAAAATAAAGCGCAAAGACGCAGTGATTAGCGCGTGCGGCCTGCGATGCGAAACTTCCCACAAATCCGCACTGGGCCCGTTTGTGAGTTATAGCCCTTTCTCATTATTTGAATCGATCCTACTCGTAGGGACGGCCTACAGCCAGGCAGTAAGTTCATTAATAGACTGGTGATAAATCCCCAATGAGCCCACGTGTGAATTAAGACCCGTTTTCCTTATATTTCTTTCCAGCTTACATTAATGGGTCATAATAATAACTATCTAACTGATGATCTATAGTATATAAAACGCAAATTAATATGTTACTTGTATGTCTAACAAAATGGAGTGGTATCTTATCGCTGGCTGGCAGGTGGCAGGTTCACAACTGTTAGTTATTCCACCAACTTTCGTATATACGCCAGCAGTTAACATACATAGGGATCGGATCCACTATACTGTGACCTTCACACGTCGACCCTGCAGCTAGCGTTCGTTTATCAGATCAGCTGTTCCAGGGTTGGCATGATTAGATCACATTGATTTAAATCTTTATTTTTTAATTACAGTCGCTTATTTTTCTTTTTTGTAACAAAAAATCCTAATTTAGAAAACAGAAAATACATTACAAATGTAATTAAAAAATAATTTTGTGCTACAATAATAATAAATAGGACAATTTAACTTAGATAATTAATTCGTAATCAGTTTCAGATTTTAGAATGTACACATCCACAGATGTAAAAGGTTCTTTCCATTGTTTTTGACGATAACTGTTTCAAAATTGGTACCCAATTTGGCATTACGCTTAAGCAGAAAACCGAATAAAAAATAATGTTGGCCTTTTTTTTACAGAAAAATCGTGAATTTTTCCAACCCTGATCTTATTCAAAGACTACTGTCACTGTCATTGATTGATCGTGAACTATGTTTGATAAATTAGCATATCTGTGGGCCATTTTATCTGTGATAAGCAGTTATTGACCGATGTATTCGAAAATTGAGCGATAAAAAGTCAACAGAAGATAGCCTAGACTAACCTTTGCGAATTTTAAAATTTTCTTGAAACTTGTATCACTCTGTAAAGAGTAAAAGTTTTTTTTTCTATTCTAAGACTGCATTCACATTTGAAGAATATTTCACCTGATATTAAGAAATGTGGCCTCAGTGGATGCCTACACAGGAAGAGCCTATATTCAATTTGAATTTTAAAAGTTCCATGATCAATCAATTGGGGAATGCATGACCAGAGGGCCAATTCTACTAAACAAATTTTGTTTAAATCGAATCGAAAACGGATCGAAACTGAACGAAACTACAGTTTTTAGTGGTTTTCCTATTCTACAAAGTGACATACGATACAATTCCAGTTCTATTTTAGCTGGAATTGTATCGTTTCGCTGCCTGGGGGCCAATTCTATAAATTTATTTAGTAGAATTGGCCCCCAGGCAGCGAATTCCATTATTTACCAGTTCGGGGAAAAAGGTACTGAGGGAAGAATCAACTTTATAATGTTAAAATAAACTTCAAAATCTTTTAATAAAATTTCTCTTAGTGGATCTATCGGAGGTTTATTTATAGCTATGCTATGCATAAGTTAGTAAAAAAGAGACAAATATAATCGTGATCTCTCTTTATTACTCACTAGCTTTTGCCCGCGACTTCGTCCGCGTGTTATAATTACTATGGGCAGCATTGCTAGAAACGTTAAAACAAACACTATTCATACCTGACAATAACATACTTTCATACAGACTTTAAATTCTTATTTCAACTTTATTATAATAATAAAAAACAACCTATGCCCTATCTCAATCTTTTAGTTGGTTAGGTGCGAGAGCTTAACAGACTACACTACTAATATACACGGACCTACTATCGCTATATAATATTAGAATGGAATAATTAAACGATTCTCTTTGTCCCTCATTTTATTATTTATTTTTTATTTTCATAGGTGAATCAACAGCTATTGAAACAAAAATGTTAACAAATTATGAAACATAGGACCAATTACAGATTCACACAAATGGTATTATAAATAAGAGAATACCCGACAGTTACCAAAATAAAGAGATTAGGAACAATATAAATCACAATTGCTTGGTGGACTTTTAAATACAAATTAAATTTAAATTGAGATTTTGTGTGAACCAATGAAAACAACATTGAGTTATGTATAATGAATATGTCGTAGCCAATTGGGTAATAAACCCGTCCAATTAAGCTGCTAACCCTATATTAGAATTATTACAATATAAATTATAAAAAAAAGCTCAACCTTGACCAAAACAGTGCGATGTAGAATTATAATTAGCGCCATTTAGTATCGCTCAAAATATATTAAATGTGGTTTTCGTTTGTATCTAAAATAATTTGCACTTGAATATTTTTTAATATAAATTATGTACACAAATACCAATTTTTATTACTATATAGGAAATCTTTATAAATAATATTCGGCAGATATATTGCAATGACAAATTAAAAAGTAAAGGGTTGCTATAGTAACATTTTGACTCCCCATAAAAACTTCCATTCCCGTTTTCGTCCCTTTAAGTGCTGGTTTTCGGGATAAAATATTACTTTCCCAGGTCTTCTACTACTCAAATACCAATTTTAGAAAACAAAGAAGTTTCATACAAAAGTTTTGACACTTTTCGACCCTCTTCGGGTAGAATTTCTAAAAATCCGTTCTTAGTACTTCTCTATGTAAAAAGACGAATATACTCTAAAAATTGCAAGTCTCTCGACCAGCGGTTTAGGCTGTGCATTGTCTGTCACAACATCTCCTTTTATATATGTATAGATAGATAGATAGATGTACATTTTCACTAGCAACAACCATACTCGTATGTCTTCTATTATATAATCAACTATAGTGCCCTATGGTTTTCAAGCAGATGATTTATCAACAGTGCAACAAGTAAGGCCTTTGGGCTTTGTTCTCTTACCTGTTCCTGGTCTTTGTAAGGTGCCTCGGGTGCATAAACCCTGAGCACATCGGCGATGCAGCACGCTATCAACAGCTGGACGTCCCTCGACGGGTGAGTTAGGAAAAACTCGTCGGCCAGGTGCAACGCCAGCGGTATGTACTGTTGGTACATGCCCTCATCCTGGCCCAGACCTTGAAGGGTATGAGCCAGTACCTTAACAAAACAAACGATTTAGTAAAACAAATGTGAACACGATATTCTTTTTCATATTTCTTTAAATAAAAGGTTTAAGGTCGGTGGAAATCTGACGGATGTTCCATCAAGCGTCTGAGGGAAATTTCTGTCGAGTGTGCAAGGTCGAATGTCATATAATTTGTCAGTACCGACGTTCAGCGATCGACGAAATGCGACGCACCGCATCTTTTATCAGGTATACACTGATTCTTAATCTATACTAATTTTATTAACAGGATATATAGACTAGTAGCTGTTTTAAATTATATAGCACATTCTTATGCTATATAATTTAAAACAGCTACTAGTATTTTATAAATTTTCAATAGTGATTTCTTATATTGATAGAATCATGGTTTACGGTACATTTAGCATTAATTATACATTCGAGAAAAACAGTCGACGAATTCATATAAATATCAAAACCAATCGATACTTAAAATTGAAATATTCTTTATCCAAATAAGCTTATCGAAAGCACATTTGAATCGCCAACGACTCACACCTTCAGCCCCTCTTGTCTATATAAAATATATGTATATATAAAATCGGTAGCTCGATGACATAAACAACGGTAATACGAGCTCAGAATGTGCAACTTATGCATTTAGATAGTACAAAAGAGCTCTGATGGCAATTTGACGTTGTGATTTCATAACTGCTGCAGTTGGACTCTCGTATAACATAGCATATCAATGTTGTGTGCGTCTCCCGAAGAATCGACTGACATACATAGGTTGTTTATTAGTGAAGCGTTCCTTTTAAATATTAAAATAACATGCCGGCTTCACGGTGTCTTGATAATAAGGACAATCCAAACGTAAATAACTTTCTTCTTGTAAATAATTGTACTTCTATGCGAATTGTCTGTTACTCTGGGGCAAAGCTAGATATTATTCTTCTTATACAATGAAAATATACGATAAAAAATTGAGCCACATTACATTGTTAGTCTTAGCTTTCCGTTCAGTTTATAATTTACATTTCACAACCGCACTGGACCCGCGTTGTTGACCATAGCAATGTGTTGTGTGCTGCAACATAGCAACTATAAACTAAGCTAGGTAATAAATAAAAAAAAAATCTAATGCCTCAAATCAGGGTTAACCAAGCACGACCCCGAAATGCAAAGTTAGTGTGGTTGACCTACGTTTCTTAAACTTTTGGCTCGACAAATATCTTTAGAACATTCCAGATGACAGCGAAGCCTTTAACTAACTAATAAAATTGGTTGTTCAAGAGAGTACCGAACCCAAATTCACAAGTAACTATAGCCTAGCAGACATCTCACTTGATAATAATAAACGCAAAACAAGGAAACCCTCGAGTACGAAAACCATGTCAACAACATTTATGTAAATAGCAAAAAAGTATAATATCTTATTAGGCAACTCTTTCAGTTTGTGTGACGGCGTCAATCGAGTTAATGTGACGAGACTCGAGCGTATTCATTCGTTGTTTTTGTTTTTAACAAAATAACACACACAATAGGGATGCTGACCGATATTTTCCTTATCATGCCAATGCATGGCGAGTTCAAGAAACAAATACCGCTCGAATTATTTTCAATATAATTAGCCAAGAAAAGAACATTTAAAATACCATTGGACAATGATAGAAATATAAGCACGTATGATATGACGTATACTCCATTCATTATAGCATTAGATAGAATGAAAATAAGGTTCTTTTTATGGTATACTTTGTGACAAAATGTCAACAATCATGTCACTCTTAAGACTCACGGTTAATTTGCTACATATCTACTTAAATATCAGCTGCTATACTTAACCGTTGTCTTTTAAGCTAAATATTAAACAAATTTATGAGTATTTGACTGACTTAAAACATTTCATAATTATTACAATAAAAAGTGTTCATCTTAAAGAACCTAAAGGAGCAGGGTTAGATAGTTTCGGCACGATTCTCATGTCACTATAACTCTACCAAATTTAAAACGTTGCCTAATCCCTTCGAACGTTTCGGCAGTACAGCTTTTTAATTTTGTCAGATTATGATTTATTCATAATAGTCAAAATACGTTATCTGGGATTGTCATTCATTGTGAATGCTACTGCCTTTCTTGTTGTTTTTCCATTTTAGGTGAATGAGTAATTACTGTTTTATTGTAGTTTTGTTTTAGTTGTTATCTTTTTCTTGTTAAGTTTTGCTAAATTGCGATTCCGGTGCAGGCCAGAGTGGCCTACAACAATTACCTTTGACATTTCAGCAAGTTTTTCCAGTCTTGATCAATAGTCTAATAATATCTGAATAAATGTTCTAACAGTAATAATAAAAATTTCATTTTGTTTACCTTTATTTTCTGGGCATAGATATAACTAAATTATATTCTAATTATATACACGTACAATAAGAATCAATCAAAACAACAGATAGATAGATTTATTTCCATGTTGGCTCTCACTAAAAGATGAATTTAAAAAATGCTAGTCTTATCTCAACCCCGAGAAAATGTAAAATTGCCCAACTCTTTCAGACTACCTAAAGTTCAAAATTTCAACAAAACTATTGTAAATATTTTTTAAATTAATCTTGTAAATAAAATGTTCTGCACTGCTGCTTCTGAGATCCTCTTTTTTCTAATGTTATAATGAATGGAGTATAGTTATAAACTAACGAACCGCAAGCATCCGTAAGCGACAAGAATGCAATTCTACTTCAATCCCACCACGTGACTTTAAGGCAATCTATTAGAATTAAAAAACTATCACTATCTTCAATGCTTTTGTTATAAAATTCTATTTAAATTAAGGGTTCTTCAAATCTCCATAGCTTAACTCCTCACGAGTCTATTGATGTCCTCACTACTGAGGCACCGACCGGCCTTGCCTGTGGATAAAATCCTATCGAATCAAATAGTGAAAATGGGCAATGCATGAACCATCACGCTGGTCCTGTTTTGGCCCAGCAGATTGGTGAGTTTAGCCTTCCGAAGCATGGAAGAGCTCGAATTATTTAATTTTTGGTCACCCATCCTATGACCGACTCTTGCGAAAATTGCTCAACTAACGCATCGCAGACCGAACTCGCTAACCACTGCGCTACCGAGCTCCTCCACGCCTATCCCGTATTTTGACATGCTACCGAATATTTAATGCTATTATAAATATCATCATTTATACGAACAGTATCAGAAACGTGAAAGCGTTTAATTACCGGAACAGGGTCAAAGAAACGCAACCTTTATCATTGTAATATCTTACAGCATTCTATTGACAAATAAATATGAGACAAGATCTCATATACCTAGCTTAGGACCGGTTTCTGAACTGAGAAAAGTACAAAATCTCAAGTGATTATTCTCAATAACATAAGTTTTTTTTTTCACAAGGCAAAAAGTCTTAGCTTTAATCAAACTGCTATCAAATGATCATAAAAAATTTCAAAACAGACGCGAAAACCTGTTCGAGTGACGTTTAAGTACGGTTTGAGAAGTGATTAACTTAGAGATCTCAATTCAGAAACCGGATGTTAGACCACCACCAGAAATGTTCATTTTTAAACAGAATTCAAAACGAAGGAAAACATGTTCAATGGCGATTTTGTTATGTTGTATGTTGTGTTGACCGACGTTTCCGCTAATTGTTTACCGATTTTCAAAATTCTTTGATCGGCGATCGGTGGACCGCTTCGTGGCCGAGGTCGAATAATGCAGCACTTTTGCAATAACCATAATTGTTTAGGAGTTAATAATTAAAAATCACCAATCTCTGTAGATAAACAACGCCTTTTGTCTTTGCGCCCACAAGAAGAAACTACAAAAGAATCATATCCATCCACACTATTATAGGGAATAATAATTATACTTTATTGTCACACCATTTTTACGGTTACAGTTAAAGTTTTTAACATTGAATTTACAAATTAAATGTTACACGATAGTGTACCAGTTGGCGGTCTTATCGCTAACAGCGATTTCTACCAGACAGCCATTGGATGGTTTATTGATAGATGGAGAAAAATGAATAGTAGTTATGAAAAATGAAGGTGTAGAGTAAGAGTACATCAATTTTAGATAAATTAGTAACATTTAGTAAAAAAAAAAATACTTATAAGATACATAAATATAGAAAATATATACATAAATAAATATAATGTTATACATAAATATATACATAAGATATACACTAATAATATACTTTAGTGAAACGAGGAAGCACCTTAGATTACAAATACAAATAATGGCTTTTTACAAGTTCTTTAAAGATGGTGATTGATTGTGCCCGTCTTATGGAAAACTATATTGTCATGATTGGTAATCGAACACGCAACTTTACTTATATGCCATTGAATGAAACCGGCACGCCTAGCGCCTGACTAACACTTGCGGCAAGTTTTTACAAAATATTCAATACATAAAAAATCTTTTAATGAAAATGATATTACAGTTACCGAACCTTATTGTGCATATTTTATATGCGCCTAATGGTTTCAAATGAATCGAAAAATCAAATGTTCACTTATATTGGTGCCGTAATGCGCTTTATTAGTATTCATGGACATAGTACGTGTTTGTTACAAAATTATCTGCATACGCATTGTGTGAATCGTAGCATAGCTTAACTTATAGGAACCTGACAGCGCAGTGGTTAGCGCGCTCGTTCGGAGATACAGTCGTTAACCAGTTTTCGCCGGTCATAAGATGGATGACCGAAACATTTATTAACTCTAGCACGGAAGACACGTTGAGCCGTTAGTCCCGGTTGCATCTGCAGTCGATAACACCCACCACTCCGCACTGGGTCATAAACTTATGATCCACTCTCCCTTTTCGAGTCCGTCCATAAGGAAGGCCTGAGCCCGAGCATGGAGGCCATAAAAAGGCTAGTTATGATGATGAATCATAGCTGGATACTGTGTCAGGGATGGCTTTTTATCACTTTCTCTGATATCGATATGTACTAATTATTTCATTACTCGCATGCATATAAAAGTAGGTCAAACTAAATTATATATGCGAATTGTCACGTCCAAGTTTACGCTTTATTTCAGCACAGGTGTAAAAATAAAACTGAGTGTGTATGTCTTGTCGTTTATATTTACAGAAAAATTATTGAAGGTTACGTTAGTTCAGTGCATACCGCACACATGCTATGCTATAAAAATATAAATTCGCGACGAAACCAGAAGGCTTATTGAAAACCTACTAAAACAGCCTAATAAGTAACGAATTTTTCCGAAAAAATAAATAAAAATGGAATTAAGACTCCAGGCGTTCGGTTGAAAGTAGCTAGAGTTATAGCTTTAGCTATCAGTGGATTTTAAACTTACACATTGTTTTTACTAGTGCAAACATTACGAAATTGAAAAGATCTTGAATTTTACGCCGATTATCTATAGTTTGGGGAGATCCTTGTTTATATGTATTGCCAAAAATATATCCAAGTTGCGCCTACAAAATGTACTATGTAACGCGAACACCAAATTTAAGTAGTCATTTATTTTAAAATTAAAATAAAAATATCAAAAATCACAAAGGTAAATCTTGCATATGCAATAATATCGCTACTAGACTTATTATGTCTTTACACAAGTAATGTGAACGCTGTCTGTTATAAATAAACATAAATCGCTTAATTTGTTCCTAAATGCAAAATTCTAAAGCAGCTGTACCATTTCAGCAATTTTTTTTAAAGTAAAATGAGGAAGTAATTATAAAAAATTAATTTGTTACCTAAATCAAACTAGATGTCGCTACGGTACGTTCTTGATTTCTCCATGACAACCTTTCCGGTTTTCTTTCAAGTTTAAAAATAAATTAGTTAACAAAACTCAATAAGCAACTCGTATTCTATTTGTACTTTTTCGTATTTGTATTGATATCTAAGTTTCGAACTTTTCAAGTTTCAGTTTTTTAATATGTTAATTAAAAGGAACGGAAATGACTGTTTTTGGTCCATTAGTTTCCCAACCCAATATGTTTTTCAACGGTAGCTTCAAGCCTAATAAGAAGCTTCCCGAGGCACAAGCTGCATGAAGTGACCACGTTACTGCAATCGATTAATACCAACGGTATAAAATTATAACACATACCTTGAGCCTTCGCACCAATTCATCAGGACCGAGGTCATCGGTAATCGGTCGGCAGCCTTGCGGGTACACTATTTCCGCCATGCTGCCAATCTGCACCAAAAAGAAACATCATCAGAGACTATCATTATATTTTAAATGCCCGCCACACATTTGGTGAAGTGCAGGGCAGAGTATTTTCCCCTTCAAAGCAATATTGTCTATGTCAACATTGAAATAAGATTTGATTCTGTATATCCAGATATTGTACAAATCTGGTTATGCTTCAATGCTCCAGGATTGTTTGTTTATTAATTTGAGATCTTTTTCCAACATACACAAGTACTTTAACCTTTTGGCAATGAAAAAGTCAGCACACTTTAAACATACAAAGGCATAATGGATGTGAGCTCGTACAAAAAATTCTAGAAAATTCAAAATTCAATCACATTTTCAATATGCGTTAAACATAAATGACAATTATATTTATTATATTAGATATCACAACAAATATCATTCACATTTAAGTATCACTTCAGATTTATACTTACAAAAATTCATCATTGTATAACACCAAAAGTAAAAAGCATTGGAAGTCATGATATGACACTTCAATCCGTACAATATCAATTCTTCGCCAGAGGAGCCATTGACTTGGTCTGTCTTTTGAAGTAACATTATGACTGCATAGTATATTGTAATAAGAAGGTGCACAATCAAGATATAAGCACATGTTTACAACTTTAAAGAAGAATGTTCACAACCACATCCCATTAATTTTGAAACTTGTTGTGTTGATTAATTAAAAATGTTGTAAACCAATAGATTTTTGAAGACCATTGCTTCAATAAACAAATCAAATCATATCTTAATATATGTTTTAAACAACTAACATGATTTTCTATATTATATTACAAATAAAATTGAATAATACTGCTGATCAGATTAATTTACTGCCATATTGTAGTTTTTTTTTTTTTAATTCAATTGCATATGCTACTAAAAAGAAATATATACAGATTATAGTAATATTCAGTAAAGAAATGGGATCCGAAACCATAACCTTTCACGACCCGGGCAACTGCTGTAACTACTAATGAAACTGTAACCTAATGGAACTGACAAATCTTTCAAGCTCTTATCATTATGAATATTTGTCAGCATAGCATTGTGAATGTGAAATTGATCAAATATAATAATGATACTAATCTGTCAATTTTCTTAATTTCATTTAATCCTTATTTCATAGATGTGACCGTTAACAATAAACAGTAATAATTAGACTAATTATGGCGACCTGACACACATGCTGTTGTGTGTGTGTTGTGCGTGTGTGTGTGTGTATTATTATTTGATGTTTGTATAATTTAGTGATCTAATAAATAGAATGAACAGAGAACTATAGATTCAACATCACTCACATCAAGAGTGAATAGGCTGTTACTAGGTTAATGCGCTATACCACCCAAGGCTTCATCACCACTTACCATCACAAATGTAAAACAGCAAAGGCAACACAATACCCAGATCCAAGACAATATACAAAAGTTCATCACTGTCCTGACCTGGAATCGAACCTGAGACCTCACACATGGCGAAACCTTGATACTGATGTGCGAGCCACGGTGGAATGTTTTTTCATGCAAACTAAATTAGTTCTCTATGAAAAATTTTACATCTCCATTGTTTATTCTAAACTAGGTCATTATTATCAACTACATCCTTTTTGCTCACAACTAAGATAACTGTAGCTCTTTCTAAACTTTACTTGGTGTTTACTTAATTGCCCGAACTGGTAGATGCAAGAGTAATAATGGATCATTTGTACAATCTGAATATCTACGGGTAAGGTAGATTTCACTAGTAATAACAACACAAACAAGCCTATATAAATACCATAGAATCATTAATTAACTGCATAAAGACATTATCAATATTATGACCCAGTTAGTGGTTTTTTCTATATTGGTTATTAAACAAAAAATGATAAGAAAATATATTTAATCCCATTCAAACATCATCTTGTTACTAACACAATATTATGATAATAACAATTTTATTATCTGTATGAAAAGCAGGATTTGAAGATAAATTGTTGTGATGGACGACGTGTTTTTAATATGCCTATTAATATTGAGAAAAAAAAAATTGCTTTTATGTATTGAATTATTAATATTTTGATGTAAGAAGTCTAATAAAACTAATATGAACTTAAATAATCTTGAAAATGTTATAGTGTTATTAATAATAATAGACCTATTTCACCTATTGTTAATATCAAAAATTGCATGCCCTCAGTTTATTAGGAAATATCAACAACACTTTATCCGCAATATTAAAGTATATTTTACTTTATCTTAATAGATACCTTTAACAAGGTAGGGTAAAAATACTTTCAATTAGTGCAATACATAAATGTATCGAACAATAGTAATATAATATGCAACCCATGTGCTTCATTATAGAATATCTTTCTACAATTATAATGAAAAACAATGTAAATGAATTTTCATAAAACAAGTCATTTAAAGGTAAATATACAATGAAACTGTCACAATATTAAGTAATGCATAAACAAATTATATAACCCATGTATATATTTTTTTTTTCATAGTTTCATAAAGGTGTATCAATGTACACTACAAAATTCTCAAAATGTTTATTTTTTGTTAATCAACTCTTAAGTTGCATCTATTTGAACATACAAACAATTCAGAATAGTGTCCTGATACCTATGATGGACCATTTACACTAGGCCAGTAGCCCAGGCAGTACAATAAGCAAGTCCAGTATTGACTTTGTGTAAATGGAGATAATTCTCAAGACAATAATACAGCCAAGTCCAATGTAATAGATCAATTTCTAATTTTACTGGACTGGCTTACTGGATTGTCTCGACTCTTGGGCTCATGTAAATGGTTCATAAAGTAAGACAGACTATAAATACAAAGAGCAGGCTTTATAACAATTGCCTCAAACTGGGTTTGGCTAAAATGGTATAAAAATTCCACATTGAAACTTTCTACTTCACACAGATGTTAAAGAATTGCAGTAATGTCACATAAATATATTATAATCATGTTAATATAGGTGGAAATCAGAATTTACCTAATATGTCTTTACTGTGCTTGTTATTCATGCATTATCATTTCATATTTTCTTCCAGCATCTCAAAACTCAAAGACTGTCTTGGTATAAAAACTTCATTGATATGTGAGGAACAGACAATATCTTTTTGATAGGTATTAAAAAAAATATCAGATACTTTAACAACAAATTTTCAAAACTTTTAAGAACTCTCCTGTAAATGTATATGTTTTTTTGTTTTTCTTAGTTTTTTGTTTTAGTTCTGTTTTTTGTGATATAACAAAATTTCAACTAAACATGATCATTAGAAATGTATAAAATTACTACACCTAAATACAACTTTATTTTCAAGAATCCATGAGATATGTTTTACATACTCATGTCCCAACAGTTATTGTAAAATGTCTAAAGCACCAATGTATTGATTACTAAATAACCTCATTGATGTACTACAAAAATATGTTGTCAAACATTGCCATAATTATTGAAAATCATCATAAAACATGCTCGTTATTACAAATTACATGAATTATTGACACATTTAATTTTTTCATGATGGATGTAAACTATAGCAAATGCATAGCTGTAGTCAAACGAAACTGCAGTCATCAATCACAATGACCACAATCCGAATATAGGTTTACCAATTTTTCACACAAAACAAGCATCCAGTTTCGAGGTTAATTTTAATGAAATTTCAGCTATACGTCTAGGAAATTCTATATTGAATATAGAAATATGAAAAATTACAATGCTTATGCCGATAATGGCTAATATACTTACAAGAAGTCATAGACGTGGGCCTATGTTCCTCGCCCGATGTTTACAAAAATCACCACAGCACACAGTAACAAACGAAACAATCACAGTAATAACATAATCGTCTCATTAACTCGTCACTAGAATATAAATCATGTGATTTTAGAAAAGGTCCTGTTGATCTAAATACATAAAAATTGCTTGTAATAATTTTTTCCAATCTTGTGGACGCCAAACTGCGGGAAAAACTACAGCGAAGTTGGCAGCGTTTGACATGGAATTAATTCATTCAAGGTCATGTCTCTATGGTATTTTTGTCTGTGGATTATAATACTGCCGAAGTTTTATTTTGGTAGAGGGTATTGTCTATGGTCATAGAAACTTCCACAGAAGATATTACCGGAAGTTAAACATCTATGACCATACACTAGGGATGGCTTTATCCAAAAGAGTTAGAAACACGATAAGAAAGAAAATAATTTGATGGAGATATATTGTATTATGCCAAAAAATATTGCAAAGCATTACAAAATTTATAACATATGGCTTATCGAGGTTAATGATGTAATGTATGTGGAAAATTGAACATATGATGACGAATCAGAATATTTATTTGTTGTAGAAACATGACATACAACTATAAATTTGTAATATTCCTTTATTCCTTATACCGAAGTCACGGCAAATTTTTGTTTAATAATAATCTTTATACGGAATGATTGTATTTGGTTTACTAATAAAAAAATATTGGTGAAATTTCTTAGGACCTTGAGCTCAAACGTTATGATTTATGGGTGGTTTTATAGATTAAACCAAAAGGATTCCATTAATATCAATAGGTCTGTTTAAGACTTTAGGAAAAGGCATTCTTTCTGTACGGTCTGCATAATACTCTAAAATTGAACATTGTACTCTTTATCATGTAGGCGACCTATAAATCTTAACGCTACTATAGGATATTAAAATGTTATTTTTACACCATATTGATTTAATTAGTGCCAGCCCATCATATATGATACAAAACTATTATCTTAACAAAAATAAATAACATTTTTTATAAGTCTGCACTCTTTATTTATCTCCTTTGAAAGCAGATCTACTAAGAAAAGTAGGCTACGAAGTCTCATTGGTGTTAGAAAATTTACGGAATCACGAATCGTTAAATTTCGTTTCCTTTTTTAGCATTCACCTATATGTGTATTCTAAGCATTCATCTAAAGTTACTTTATTACCCCATTAGTTAATCAATAAGTTAATGTTTGTTATTAATGAGGAGTATTTAAAAAAAAACATTAGTTCCCGAAATTAAACTAGATGTCGCTATGGTACGTTCTTGATTTCTCCATGATAACCTTTCCGGTTTTCTTTTAAATTTAAAAGTAAATAAACAACTCATATTCTATTTGTACTTTTTCGTATTTGTATTGATATCTAAGTTCTAACTTTTCCAATTTCAGTTTTTTAATATGTTAGTTAAAAGGAACGCAAATGACTGTCTTTAGTCCATTAGTTTCCTGCAAAAATCAACTGTTGCTAAAGTCGCCATCAAGTGGAGGTACTTTTATAGTGCTTTCGTTTTTTTTTTTTAAATACTTCCTCATTATCAGTCTGCACTTGTTCATGGCGCTCGGCTGTTCTTCCTCAGGACGCTGTACGCAAGTTATCCCCGAAAGCGGAACCAAACCTGTCCCACGCGAGCCATTTAATTTCGATTTAAAAATCGGGACATCTGGCAACGCTGGCTGGCTCCGACCTCAGCAAAAATATTGGTGTACTCAATACGTTTTTTTTTCGATTTCATTGAAGATAAAAAATTATGGTATTATTTTTCTCGTAATTACGATTTTCTTTTTTTTGAAATAGCATGTTTTTTCTTTTAATTTTTATTTTAGTGAACACAATGCTCTGGATTTTACGTCAATAAAACGAATATAATAATGCAAAAAATAGTTTATTTGTTTCACAAAATAATCTTAATTAAACATACAAATTATGAAGCAACCACATATTCCCATTAAAAACTAAAAGGCGATTAACACACGAAAGGTTGGAACGCCTGCACGCGTAGCATGACAAACTCGAGAAACGCTTTGTCTGCAATAATTTGTCAGTTTCTCGGATCGAGAATGAGATATAGTATGGGCACACCCGAGAAAGGTGACATTTGAGTGTAGACAAAATGTTCTCGCGTTCGTCATGCTACGCGTGCAGGCGTTCATATACAAACTGAGTAAGTATCCTAGTTATTATACTATATAAAAATACCTAATTTCTGCCTAGTATTCTAGGGATGAGTAAAGTGAAGCGGTTTCTTTAACGATATCATTTATTTCATAGACGCAGCGTCAGTTTGTCATGTTATTAAAAGTCTAAGCTAAAAGATCTTATTAATAACGGCTGTTTATATTTAGCTTAATAAATAATGCAAAATTAACACTTCCCATCAGTTTGTAAGTTAACCAACTGAAAACATGGACGATTTTAATGATTTAAGTTGGTTGGCCCGTCAAGCTAATCGTAGATGGCGTTATGTTTGAACTTCTGCCTACGTACAGCCCAGTCAAATGAGCACAAAAATGGAAACAGACAATTTATTACTATAGGAATAGTACATACCTGCACTTTATTTTTAAAAATTATGAGATTACTTTGAAGAAACTGTTACTGTACCAATTAAGAAAACTGATATTGTCGTGATTTGATGTCTTTTAGAATGTTGCTACGGCAGCGCATTTTGAAAGTTGCCTTCCCGTTGAAACAGAGGCGGTTTGCCTGCATCATGAACCCAAGGGCGAGACCTAAAGTGCTATATTGTAAAAGCATATCTCATTCTCGTCCCGTTTCCCAAGTCTCTCGAGTTCGTCATGCTATCCGATTGCGATGCAATCAATATATATTTTTTATATCTTCGATTATATGTATTCATGTCTTCTAATCGCTGTTATGTGTACGATATATATATTTACCAAAGGGTGTGAACCCTTTGGGAAATAGATAAATTGTTATAATAAATTGTACATTATTTAATTTAAGCCATTTGCAAGCGTGCGAAGTCAGTCACCGAAGCTATACGGCGAAGAATGGTAACGTGACACCACCGACGGCTGCCAACACTAGTAATTATTTATAAATAAATCCTAGTTACAAATTAATATGAGTGCTAAATCATAAGCGGACCGGTGAAATTTAGTTCAGTTATTATTAAGAAAAAAAAATCAATATAATCTTACATGAAGAATTCTTTAGATCTGTGCCATCACAACATGTTGTAATTTATTATGTATTTAATTTAATTAGATGAGAAATCAAATATTAATATAATCTCATAGAAAAAAAGTATAAGTCACCATTCACACTGAATACACGAGTGAGCGCCTAACCCTTAAGTATCACATAATAACATTAAATTTATATTTAGCACAAAGCAATATGGAATTAAATTTTTATCTTATACAAACTATTTTAAAAATACAACATATTTAAATTAGAAAAATATACAAGAATATAATTATTAGCACAGTCAGCGAAACAGCTCATACATTCCTTATTTTTAGTTTTCTGAAACACTTCGTCGTTTTTCGGCATCGATCGGCCAGATTGCTATAATTAAAGTAATAATCTATTTTAATGCTAAAATAAAACTAATCCAATTCAAGTTTTCGGAACGATCCGGCAGTTGAATGTATGTTCTGAGTTATATCATTCTTTTCTAGTGCATAAAGATCCACGCACATGTCATCGAGCGCTAATAATTCTTCTCGGCGCTTTAACAAGTTTCGTTTTAGTTCTTCAATCATGTCTTTAAGAGGTACAGTGCCACCGTACTCCTTAGGCAGTATAGACGGATCGACGTGTTTGTTCAACTCTTCACTAGTGCGATGGAACTGGAAATAGATGATATTGATACAGTTAATAACTCTAAAGGACGATTTAGGGTTGATCTGTCAGAAATATCGTTTTTCAATCGCCCTGCCCTTTTCTGTCACTCAGAACCATCATTTGCTTGAGTAAGAAAGATATCGGGTGTGTCGCCACGGAATCCTCGAACCGATAAACTAGGCGCTATCTCTCTTTCTCTAACAAAAGGCAATTTTGAGAAAAAAATAGAAAAAATGATTGAAAGTAGAGTTCGAAATCATTATCCTGTATTTTAAGTTCAAAAACGATTGCGAAAGTTTTACATTTTGTATAGCTCCTACAACTCAAAAATTCGAATATCCAACAAAAAAATAATAAGTTTGATACCAGAATGTAGAATATTGTTGTCACTACTGATTAAAGAACTTTTTCTATTTTTGCGACATTTTTCATTTCTGCTCGACTCCTATTAGTCATAGCGTGCTGTTATTTAACCTTCTTCGATAAATGGATAATTCAACACAAATATAATTTTCCAATGCGAACCAGTATATAATTCCAATCTCAATATATCGTCGTTCGTAATTACCACAGACTTGATTAAATAAATGAATTGTTTACCATGACTCTATCCTTCAGTTTATCACTGAGCAATGATACGGCAAACTCAAAAAATCTGACTCCATACTGAGGTATGTTCACAAAGTGCGTGCGCTTGTGTCGCATAGGCGTCGAATTCTGAAACAAAAATTGTTTATTGTCTAAAACAAGGCAGCTATTATATGTTAGGTATTTATTTATTGTTATCCTACAAGATTTCTTAAAAATAATGATAGAGTATGCGCGGATGGTTTGCCATGTAAAAATCTTGACGTAAGTTCCTTTGCTGGCCTCGAGGGTTTAGACTCTAGATGTTATGGCTGTTGACTCTAGATAGCAAGCCAGAGACAGATTATATAATTTAGGCATATGTCTAGGAGTGCCACTTTATTAGTGGAAGCCAAATTTGAAGGAAAGTAATAACACTTTAGTGCTGGACTTATCATTAAAGATCGGTATCTGAGAACTGTTAACAAACCTGGATACAGTTGAGCATGATGCGAACATCTGTGAGTGACCAGAGGCTGACGTGTGGCATTTGCATCCCAGCCTCGTCGTTGACATGCGTGTAACCGAGCAACTGTGACCGAGGCTCGTCTAACAGCAATTCCACTATCATGGAGTGAACGCGCGCCATCACGCAGCTGTCGAAGATGTGAGGGTCAAAACGACCTGGAGAACAAGATTGCATTTATATCACATCCACATAAGAGCTTCCAAAACAGCTACTATTTTATTTAGTCTCGGTGATGACGGTTAAGAAAAACAAATGAATAATTGCTAAACGACTGTTTTTCAACTTTATTTAGGCTTTAATTTTTTTTAAGATTAATTGTTCAAAGAAAGAATAACTAAATATACAAGAAACAACAACTAAAGGATGAAGGATGGGAGTTATAGAATACAGTATAATTTTTTTGTAAATTGCACTCAGACTCAGAATTATTCTATTTTCTTCTTAGTCCATGCGCTTAATGAGAAAGTTTAAAAAAAACATTAGTTCACGAAACCAAACTAGATGTCGCTATGGTACTTTCTTGATTTCTCCATGATAAACCTTCCGGTTTTTTTACATGTATAAAAATAAATTAATTTTTAAATCAATAAACAACTCGTATTGTATTTGTGTTCTTTTTTTGTATTTGTATTGATATCTAAGTTTCAAACTTTGCAAATTTCAGTTTTTTAATATGTTATTAAAAGGAACGGACATGACTATCTTTGGTCCATTCGTTTCCTGCAAAGATCAACTTTTGGTGGAGTCGCCATCTAGTGAGGAACTGTTATAGTGCTTTCTTTTTTTTTCTTAAAATACTTCCTCATTAAGCTTGGCGTCGTAGTAAATATATACCATTCAACTCGAGAAGACAAGCCTAGTCGACTTTTACGCTTTGAATAAAACACATTGACATACCCATGCATGACAAAACTACCCGGCGCCCTTCGGAGTCTCGCTTAGGCAACGGCACCAAGTAACCCGCGTCTATGACTGCTGCTATCTTAGGGTCCAGCGGGTCGAGCTTCTGGAACCAGTGCGGATACATCTGCCTGATGGTCAGATAGCGCTCCAGCATAGAACACGCTTGCGGTATAGAATACTTCTTGGTGCGTAAGAAGCGAAGTAAGAAGGGAGCATCTGTGGATAAAAATTGTTTTTAGCTAAATATAATAGTAATAAAGAGTGTGCACAGAGACTGCAGAATGCGATTTTTTGAAATCCGTATAATTCGTTTTTTTATGATTTGAGGTTTTTTGATGAAACCGAAATGAAATATCATAAATTAAATTAAAATCTGCATTTATTAGTTGTAATCCTTAAAAGGAAATATTAAAATCGACATAAATAAACAAAACTAGGGTATTTTTAGGGAAAAATGTTTAAAAATCCACCAGCCCCGGATGCCCCGAGGTGGAACTAGAACACAAGCTTTCGCAATCCAGGTGACTGCTTTAACCATTGTGCTACTTGAGGCCCGAAACCTGACTTAGAAACATCTCTATATACGTGTATTCATATTAGAAATGGCGCGGACGAGTGGTTAGGAAGGGATCATATTTCGTTTGCGTTAAGAAGGTCAGGATGTAGAAAAATGTTTCCCTTTGTTATCATGCTTATTTTACAATTACATCTAAGTGTAATCTCTACGTTGAGATCAACAGCAGGATCGTTGCTGCAGTTGCGACATTTGGGCAGCTGTCCTCCAAGGTCTGCCGCTCTCACGACCCAAAGTTGACCACCAAAATATATATTCCTCCGATGCATTGGGTTTATATTGTCACCACGCCGCCCGCGATCACCCGCAATCTGGATGGATTCCATCAAAGTTCCATCATGAAGATGAGATGGTCCGATGGGGTACATCATACTGATATTTTAAGACCACCGAATGTATAATGGGCGGATATGTATCGCGTATGACGCAGAGGAGACTGTTGAAGCAAATCATCTTTTTTGTATATCGAAGAAGGCAAGCGAAAACAGGGCGTTAATGTATGAAAAGTCGCAATAAAGAACTCTCTCAATGGGAGAATTTGGTAGCGCAGCGTCTGAAATGGTACAGGATTGGCATAGCCAAGTAAGGAATTTTAAGCAAAGCCGTCAACCGCCGTGACGCGAGCTGAACTTGCTGCCATTCACTACCACTATGCAGACGAAGTACTCACATGGTCTATTTGCTTGCAGGCCTTATTAAATAGATCAGCTATGAAAGCCATCTTGGAGAGCATCAGCGCCAACTGGACTAAGATACGAAGCGGTCGCCATGGTCGAAATCGAATCGAAAGCATCATCGTCGTCATTATTCGGAGCTCAAAAAAATTTTTTTTTACAATTGCAAGTAATAAATATTATAAAAGCTCGAGCCACTGTCGTGTTATTCATTCCCGCCATAATAGTTTTGTGTAAACACAATCAAAATAAAAAATTATATACTTAAGTAAAAAAGTAGTTCGCCAACAGCAATTAAAGACACTCTCAGTCAGAAATTTAAAAAAGAGAAAGTTGTAGAGTGAGCTTTTCTTTAAAAGTGAAGAATCAGAATTTTCATAAAGTGTGTGCAAATAAAGTAGCGAGATACGCTCGCGTGACAACGCGCAGTTCTGTTTATTTTATTAAGTTTTAATTCAAATCCGAAAAAAGCCCGAATTTGAGTTTTAAAAACGGAATTATAAAAGGTTCCGTGCACCCATGCAGTGTCAGTTAAACTAAACGACACATGTTTGTAGAAGATGCCATTGCCATGGTATCAAATCTAATTTGAAAAGGCCACACTAGGGGCTGACACATTCTCAAGGAACGCAACGACATCCCATGGTCTCATTCATTTTTAGAAATCCGTACGAAAAGGGCAACAACGGGACCTTACAATATTATTATAACGACCGTAACTCTTTAGTTTTTGTAGATAATAATTAGAAGAAGAACTCTAAGAAATGGTGGATTAAAAAAATCTTCACTTAAAATTGAATAAGAATATTACTTCAATACTTCTTCAATAAGAATATTGCCAGCGAGTATTCGTTTCACTTATAGATACATAAGCTATATTAGGTACCTAACTAGCCTCAAGAGAATTATTTCAAAAGGAAAAATTAAAAGTAAATTCCAAGATACAGCGCCATATATTTATATCTGTTCTATATCGGGTCACTGTAAAATTATTACGTTTCAAAGGCATTCATTACATATGCAATAAACACTCTGTGTATAGCTATTGGAATGGCAAACGATTTGTATACATACATATATGTTTAAAATGCACATTTTCATGTAAGGCACGCGCAGATTGTATTCCTAGATATAATTTAGATGGCAACTTACATTTTCAAATAGGTTTACTACACACCTACTTACCTTCTTTATTGTTTTACGTACACATATACAAGCGCAAATATATGGAGGGAGGAAGTAATGGGGGCAATTGCCCTTTTGACTTATGATAAAATAATATTTTTGTTAAAATTAAGTAAGTAAAGTAATGTAAGATTGTTAACACAGGGAAAATACAACTTATGCCTTAAATTGGGACTTCCGAACCACTACTAAAAAAGAAGAGGAAAAGGAGAGGGTAAACTTGTCTTCCATTGCTAACCGTACTCAAATTAATTAGACACTTTCCATTCATACTGTGATACATAATTTTCAAAACATGTGACTTGGTCGTTTCATTTCTACAAGCAAGAACTACGGTATAAACGAAATTAACGAACAGTGATTAATATTTTCATAGCCGAGCCACATGTTTTGAAAAAGATAATGAGTTTGTGAAGTCAGGGCATGTAGAGTTCAACCCGAGAATTCGGAGATCTGATACCTTTTTGACAGCCAATGATCTCGACTTGGCAACACTTAACATGAAAATGTTTTTGATGAGTGTAATAAATAAACTGAAAGAGTCTAATACCTGTTCTGCATTTCTTTATCGCCGGATGCTTCTCTATAAAATGTCTCATCTGTGAGAGCGCTTGCTCTCTTAATGCCGGTTCCTCTCTTAATTCTACTCTCGCCCGCTCTCTTAGCTCAGGTGGAAGCTCTCCCGTCTCCCTCTCTTTGATTTCCTGTCTCTGTATGCGGTCCTCATCTGAGAGCCTTAGCTCGGATAAATCCAATTTAGGCTCATGCTCTCGTCGACATTCTTCGCGTTGGAGAACGGATGTCGCCATTCCGGATAATTCTGCAAACAAATGAATATTGTTTAATTCTAAGATATGTCTTCTGTACATTAACAGATAATGAACAGAAGTATATTTGAAAATCTTTAGACAAGTACAGAAGTAGCAACCCGAAACTGTTGTTGTATGTTGTTAGTGGTGGACTAACGCTCCTCGCTACAGGCTGTACTTGTTTGTCTACGGGGCCTCCAATCCGAAATTATAATATGATTAAAAGACTGTGCAGCCATTTCGAGGCCCCACAAACCGTAGTGGTAGAACGTAGCTGAATAGGGATGATGACTAATTTTTGTTTGTTTGTCCGTCAGGTAGAGTGTTAAAAAATATTAAACACGTATTTTTTTATTTTTTTCGTAATCATAAAATTACAGCGTTACATTGAGTTGAAATTTCGTATGACGTCACGTTAGAGTACGTTTTTTACTCAACTGTGTAGCGAGCCCCCACTCCTCAACTTTAATGCCTGTTACGAGGGTCAAACTGAAAGTTCTTAGAACTGGCCACTTATAAACAATATAATAAAAAAATAATTCTAAAATTTGAAAATATAACTCTTTGCCAATATTACTGAGTATATATTTCATTCATTTGTCATTTGTTTTACGATTTGGCGGCAAATTGAAAATTGTCTGTGTCACGTCATCATGAATTTAACACGAGAAAATTTTCGTGCAATGATTTTTTATGACTTTCGATGTCATTTAAGTCAACAAGAAAGTTATGATAGACTACGATTGGCCTTTCACGATGAAGCCCCATCTCGTGCGACTGTTTACAACTGGTTTAATGAGTTTTAAACGTGGTCGCACTAATCTCACTGATGATTTACGTGAGGGACGGCCTTCTACGGCGACGACTGAAGATAACATCTGTGTTGTGCGGCGTATGATAGAGACTGACAAAAGAGTGACCTATCAACAGATTCGGACAAGCTTAGGCATCGGTATGAGTCAAGTGCACAAAATCCTCCACGAACATTTAGCGGTCAGGAAGCTTTGCGCCCGGTGGATACCTCATAATTTGACTGAGGCTCAAAAACTCCATCGTGTGGATTGGTGTCGTAAAATGATTGAAAGATTTAACGGAGGTGACTCAAATGCTGTGTTCGACATACTAACAGGTGACGAAAGCTGGATTTACTGTTATGATCCTAAAACCAAAAGACAATCTGCTCAGTGGGTGTTTCCTTTCGAGGAGTTGCCAACTAAAGTGAAGAGAGATCGAAGTGCGAGAAAAAAAATGGTGGCCTCGTTCTTTGGAAGGATAGGTCATTTTGCAACAATTGTGTTAGAGGATCAAAAAACAGTTTCTGCAGAATGGTACACTACCAATTGTTTGCCACTTGTCTTGGAAAAAGTTCGAGAGAAATGACCTCGCAGTAGGATCCTCCTTCACCACGACAACGCCTCGTCGCACACCGCCAAGCGAACGATCGACTATTTGGCGACATCAAACGTTGAATTACTGGGTCACCCGCCGTATAGCCCCGACCTCGCGCCTTGTGATTTTTATTTATTTTCAAAAATTAAAGAAAAACTTAAAGGAAAGCGGTTTATGAATGCTGAAGAAGCGATGGCTGCGTATCGCGATGCCATTGAAGAGACCCCTAAGGACGAGTGGGCAAAGTGCTTTTCCCAGTGGTTCCATCGCATGCAGCGGTGTATTGACGTGAATGGACAATATTTTGAAAAGATATAATAAAACTAATAACTGGCTAATGTAATCAGTTTTTGATTTTCTAAGAACTTTCAGTTTGACCCTCGTATCTAAGCTATTTCTTGTTAAATTGAAGTAAAAAAAAATACGTATCTAATATTTTTCTATTATCTGACTGACGGACTAAATAGAATTGCATTTTTTTTACCCAGTCATCATCCCTATTGTTGTAATATCAATATTGCATCAAAAGGTCGTAACTCAAATTTAGAGCACTTTATAACGCACGCTGTTTACTTTAATGAGGCTTTGTATTCAGTCACAATACAAAACCTCATTACGATATTGTTCCTTAAACAGGCGAGTTATTTCAAATATTTACTCTCAAACTAGTTTTTCTTTCAACCGATTATGTCACTCATTACGCTCTTGACTTCTAAGTAGAATTTGTGAATGGATGGGCTATGTACCATCAATGTCATAAAAGTGTAGTTTTTATTTGAATATAAATAATATAAAACTAATTAAATTATAGAAACCTACGAAGAAGAGTAACTTCTTTATTAAATTAAATTAATATACATCTATATAGATTGTTTTAAAAGTATTAGGGAGCATAATCCATTAAGGGCGCAGTGCGGATTGGTGGATGCTAATGATTGCAGACGCAGCTGAGACTAACAGCTTTACTTGCCTTTCGAAGAATAAATTCTTGATCACCCATCCTATAACTGACCGTGGCTAAAGTTGTTTGACCTGCGCATAGCAATTCAAAGACACTTATCACTGCGCTATCGAGTCATCTGCTATGCAATTACATATCGAGAGAATCAGCGCAGTGCTGTTACAATATAGACTTAATGAAAAACCTTTAGTTACCTATATGCTATAACAGTGTTCATCGATGAGTTAGAGACTATTTTTTAACAGAATAGCGCTGTTGATCTCACGTATCCTTTTATAGTATTGTCCATTTCTACTTAATAATGTTAATGTTGACCTTCAAACTTAGCCGCCGTATAAACTTTCACTCGCCTTTCGAATTGTGACGATTCAGTGCGAAACCAAAATCTTTTGACAGGTTAATTGCATCGCCTTTTTAATTTTGCTTCCATTTGGACACTATTTTATATTGTGACATCGTTAATAACAGCTTTAGTTAGCGTATTGATTATTTTCATATATAAATCAGGCACTTTAACGCGTAACATATAAATTAAGGTAACGAGAAAGAGTTACTAATTATACTTATTTCTTTCACTGGATTATAGATATATAAGACGTTAATTAACATCTACAACCCACGTATACCTTTAATATAATTCAGTTTAAACATAAATTTTTGATTGATTTCATATATTTTCACGCCATCGCATCACTATCCATAAATGAAACAACTTTTAAACGACAGGGTCCGTAACGTCAATAAAACTAAATACAAACGCGACAAAACCATTTAAAAGCTATTTTATTTAAAACATATGAAAGTTTTAATATAGACTGCATGTGCTGAAGTAACCTATATTCAGCAATCACCATTTCAGGTACGTAACGACATAGGAAAGTAGGATAAAAAGGAATACAATAAGAAGCTACACTTTTTAGTTTTTTACTGTAAAATGTCAATATAATGTCGTAATCAGTTATATAATTTATATATGTATTTTCGTCTAATACTTACATTTTCTATGTTAAGTACCCTTATTATGATTAAATAATTAATAAGATTTGTAAACACAATAAGTTTCTATAATTGGCGTCCATGCTGCATACTTATTTTTGTTATGAATAAATAAATAAATAAATAAAATTCAAATTGTTTCTAAAATAAATTAGGATTACATTTGCATTATATTTGATATATTTCATAATTGGTCTTGTACATTAATGAAGACTACCGTCTACTTGTAAATAACCTATTTATAACAAATAAAGAATTGATATTATTATTTTAGAGTTTAGTGCTCACGATGACTATGTTAGAATTATTGTACTGTAAAAATGAAACTTCTATTACGCAAAAAGAAGAGAATCATTCACTAAACCAACAAAACAAATATTGGCTTCGAAAATAAAAACAAACCGAACGCAAAAGCTTTTTTGCCAATTGAACGGATAACGGAATGAGTTCGGCGTGTTGAAAAAAGTAGCCAAAGTCAATAAAAATTAAATTCTGTATCGCGTTGATATTTTTTTTATAGAGCGAAACGAAACGCATCGGACAATGCTTATCACGTAACCCGTTTGACGTCAATAACGCTTTATAATGGTTTATAATAATAAATAATTATAACGAAGTAACTGTTACAAAATCGGGGCCACGTTATTATATGTACACGTAACTAGGTACGTATTTGGTTGGTAATAATTGGTTTTTCTCAATGCTAAGTAATTAAACGATAGTAGTTTTCGTTTCAAACTAAACATGAGCGCGAGTATGTTTTTAACCAATTTCAAATTCGAAAAAGAGGAGATTCTGTGTTTTTTTATTATATTCACCGATTTCCCGCGAATTGTAGACAGGTTAGCAAAAAAAAAATATTTTTTCATAAAAACAGGCATCAGTCGGTCCAATTGTATTATCGAAATACGATTAAGAGTTTTGTTTTTATAACAAAATAACTGGTATCATTCTGCCTAAGGACAAACAAAAGCTCAGCGTATGAATATCACCGAAGAAAACAAAAGATCACGTATGTTTCTGCACCTATCTATAAAAATAATAATAAAAAATTTGAAAAACATACTACCGACTTTCAAATCTAATACTAGAATTATATGAAGGCGATTTATTTACTATTCATGACACTAGTACTAAAGTCGGGCGGAAATTTGTGTTTCGGGTGTTGATTCCAATAACCCATTAACCGCTCGACTAAAAGAATGTTCATGAACTTATTAGAAATAATACGTTATAATATAGTGAATGGGACAAGTGGAAGAAAAAAAAGCAATTGCCTTATGTTTTCCATTTTCTGCTTATGCCTTTTTTTTTGTCTTATCTGGTGGAACATCCATAGTCTGACAGCGCTGCGTCCGACGTCGACTTTGAGATAGTTTCATAACAGATTAGCACTGCACGATTGCATTTTGCCCATCACTAGGAAAACTTACACAAATTATAATTTTTACAGTAGGTTCAACATGTGATTGTTGTTTAGAAAAAAAAATAATAAACAGGATCTTTCGATTTAAATGTAAAACCACATGGATGACCACCATAGAGATTTTTTGCAGTAGTGTTAATTTGTTTCAATGCTAAAAAATAAATTGATATACGACTAAATTAAAATAATATCCATTCCCATACAGTTTGCTCTTGAACTAGTGATTTC